GCAGCTTAAGTTGTCACTACGACAGCTACCTACCGTCAGATTCATCTCTCGAAACAGACGCACTCAACCGTCATTGGTAAGTTTAAAATACAACCTTATTTATATAAAAAATCAGAGCTTTTCAGAATAATTCATAAAATTGCACATTTTTTTAGAATTACCTGAATATAATTAAAATTAACAATATTTTAATTAAAAATGTGAAATTTACTAATTAAAATTTATAAACATTTATGAACTAATTTTATGAATTAAAATGTTGTTAAAACTTAATTATTGTCAATAAATTCGGCACTTTATTAAAAATTAAGTACTGAATAACTAATAAGCAAAGTACCTAGTTTAAAAATTTAAACTAAGAATTAAAGTTATTGCCACCCTATTACATTTGCATTGTGATGTGAACATAACACAAAAATGTAAATAACTTTAACCAATTTTATTATGAATGAAAATAAACTCCCCACTAGCAAGTAGCAAGGTACATAAAGGTTCTGTTCACAATCACGCATCAAATACCTGAAAAAGGGTATACTGAAATTTTCACAAACATATTGAGATAAGCTGACTGTGGCTAAGGTTCTTTAGGACGGTGCGCCGCTCGTGGCAAATCTAGAAGCGTAATTATTTTCATTAATATGTGCTATATAAAATCGAAGCCATGGCTAAGGTCGTCGCAGACGCATACTTCTAGTTATATGACCCACATTTACTATCAACAATCCGTCGTATAAAGATCGCTTGACATCTTGGCGGACACCACGTCATGTTAACACGGAATGCACTACCGACATGTTTTAATTCATAAAAGGACATCGGTATGACTCCCTAGAGAGGACGTTCATCATGAGACTGCTATTATCTTTTTAACACACAATAGGCTCATGGTTTCGATATGTTTTATTATTAATTTCTGTCACAATATCTTATACTTGTAAAGAATTAATTAGTATTAGTCCTTTGTTAATTTGTCCCACCGTGCGCGCTATTTAAGTTGCCAAATGCATTGATAGATTTAAAAATGAATTTTTTTCATCAATAAACACAATCTTACAATCACTAACCACTACTTAATTCGTCACCATGTAGTGATTAATCTAGTTCCAATTATGTCAAGAGCGAACCTTTGATTACACTACAGAAAGAATTAAATAAACATTTCTAAGTAACGTTACGTAAACAGTTACAACATTTTGATATAGGGAAAATATACGATTTAATTTTTAATAATAACAAGGATGTTTTGCTAATCGCTAAATGTTTGTGTTAGAACGGTTCCTTAAAATATAGTCTGAGAATAAACGTTCGAAATAATCATCGTCCGAATTAATTTATTTCGACTTTCGTCTGCATAGTAAGTTTATGAATGAAGGTCTAACATTGGTCTGGTTAAGCGTAAAGTTCCAACAATCGGCTGTTACATTTAAGTGACTGCATTGACCCAGTGCTCTGCGCGTAATTTGCCGTTGATAAAGTCTTTACCATGAACTCACCTTGCGCTATGGATTCATTAAACAATACACGGAGAACTGTATAATTTCTGTTCCACACGTTACAGTTACACGTGGCCTGTAACAGCGTGCTAGCAACACTGCTTCAAAACATTGTACTATCACGCACAATATTTGCACACTGTTAATATACGCGTACGGTATAAATCAATAATTTACAGGTTAAGCCAAATGTATCGATAATTAATTTTAATATTCCTGAGTAAAACTCGTAAAAAATGGACAGAATTAGATAAAAATTAGTTCATACATTTGTTTTTGTGACATACGATCGTCTATAAGAGTAATAATAAATTTAAAGAAATTAAAGTTCATACATAAATACTTATGTGACACATCTTCTGAAATCTTAGATGTATTGTATTGAAACAAAGACGGGGCCCTAAAGGGGCCTCGGCCTAGAGCAGGAGCAGAAAAGGGGTGTATTTTTAATCAGTACGAATCTGACACTCTCTCACTCTCTCTTGCCCTAGGTGAGAAAAGTCAATTGATGATATATTCCTCTCACGAAAAAAGGTGTATTGTATTAAAATCACTCTGTGTGTGGAAGAGCCATGCTTAGGCACGAATGGGTCGGCTCGACTGGAATAATACCACGGCCTCACAGAAAACCGGCGTGAAACAACCACAGCGTTGTTTCGCCGTGTGAGTGAGGCTACCGGAGGCCCAATCCTTCTCCTCCCCCAATCCCTCCTCAATCACTAAATCTCCTAATCCCTGATCCCTAAAAGGTCGGCAACGCTATATAGTTACAAGTGTAACTACTCCGTTGCGGGTGTCCATGGGCGGCGCTGATTGCTTACCATCAGGCAATCCGTCGGCTCGTTTGCCGACCAATTACATAAAAAAAAACTCTGTGCAGATTTTACCGTTATTTTGTAGGAATAATCATGTATACATTCAAGTAAATACTTATTATAATCTTAAGTTTATTATCAAATGTGGTACAGACTACTTTATTTACATGCAAGTATATCATATGTGTTAAAATTGTAACGTAACGCAACTTCTGAATGCCTCGCTTGAATACCAAGTAGCGGCTGTCTCTAGAGACTCATTCACAATTGAATATGTTTCCACGAAAACCTTTCAGACGTTTGTTTATTTAAAAGAATTTTAAGAAGTGTTCTAATTACATGTGATATTCCTTCCTTCATATTGTAAAAATTTTAAACATAATTTTCAGTTTTCTTAAAATGAGTTCTTATTTGTAACTCCTGTTATCACAGTATATAATTATTGTCACAATTTATCTAATTATATTTCCAATCTGACTAAACGTGCCTGAAAATTTTAAACAGCTGTGAAGTTAAATGCTTCCTCCTGTGCATTCGAAATCAGACCGTGGCAAAACATATGTGAATCCTTATTAGAAGTGTCTTTACGTAAGTTTAATTGTATTAAGCTATTATATAAAGGTAATAATGGCAACAAATCAAATTCAATGTCCTATTGACGGTTTTATGAAATGTCAAATACAATTTATTTATATGTTTTTTTATTTGCCATAAAGGAGAGAAAAAAAGTTTTTTTATGAAATTAATGATCGTGACGTTACAAGATATTATATCAAAATTCGTACTTATTTCGTACTAATACTAAAATTAAGTTCTCAAATAAATAAATTTATGAGTGTTATTATTATAAGGTCAACTAAAAGCTTGATTAGGGGAAATAATTAATTATTACCTAGATATTTCTCAACGCTTCCATTCTTGTTTTTATATGTATAAATGTATGACTTTTTATAGCATACAAATTCTATGCTAACTAGAAAATTAGCTCGAAGCGAAATTACAACATTTACGAATCCATTGTCGTATCCTTATCATGAATAGCCTTAACACAAAAATTTTCCGCGATGGCATAATTAATTATTTACTATTACCTTTTCAATGTAACAAAACGTTACGTGTTATAGCTTCAATTATATTTCATCAATGTTTATAAAACTGACGTAGATAATATTCAAACAATATGTCAATTGAAACACGTGTGTTTGTTATCATAAATCCATGTGGACATTAGATATAAAAGAAATGCTATAAGGTGTATTAAAATTAAAATTATATTTTATACTGAACACGTGAACGAGTACAAATCGACATAAAAACAGATTATCATTTAGTGAAGTCAATTGTTTATACGAATGAGTAATCGCTCCATTATAATAAATTATTCGCCAAGGTGACACTCGATTAAAGAGACACGTATTAGGACAAACCCGATAGCTTTAACTTGAATAGTGGTGGCCCAGCGCCCAGCGGTGATGACCTCGCTTCAGTACACGTAGGACGTAGGTCGCGGATCAAAGCCAGGCAAGCGCAACATTCTTTTGTTTTCTTTTATCTTTTCTCCGAAACGATAAAGGCAACCTTCGTAACCTCAAAAGAAATAAAAAACAATATGGATTCTCCAAACTACAGCGAAGCCACATAGTTTAATTTAGTCAACGACCCGTTTCATAGCTTTAGGGCTGTCAGAATGTTAATTATCATCCATCTTAATCAATCAATGTACCTTCAAATATAGAAAACTGACTATTATAATTTAATTATTTTACAAAATTATGAGAGATGAAGCATTAAATCTGCTTATCGATTATTCAACGATTAGACACAATCTATGAAAATAACTAAAAGATAACTGATTCCACAAAAAGTTAAACACTGAACATCATCGCTTCCACGTGTCAAACGAAAGCTCTGGAAATCTCGGAATTCTACGAGCAATCTCTTAAATATTAATAAAACATTGTTTCGACCGAAGTGATCATAAATCTCATTCATTCACCTGTCATTCTCCAATTATCGCCGAAAACAAGTGTAGAAAAACAAAACTACGTCATAATTTTTCCATTGTGAATGAATTATGCATATATTACGGAAACATTCGCTGAAAATATATCTTTGTTTTAACACAAACAATAGGCAAAAGACGTTATTTTTTTTCAGAACCGACAAAATACACTTTGGAAATCATATCGTTCGTAACATAATCTTCAAATAGATATATCGGAAAACAGCTGATTTAATAACTCGGTACATTCCATTCTTACAATTGCGTATATGATACTACACACTTTTCTTTTAATGCTTATATGTACCCACATACATCGCCAAACATAATGGTCGCCTTGATCCAGTAACTAGAAATTATAAAGTGGATTATTTATAGGTGTGGATTATTATAGAAACAACATCTATTGCATGATAAATTCAAATCTGTTCTTGGACCATTTATAGATATTGAAGTCCCTCAAAATAAACAATTCTTACGAACCCTCTTGTACAAAGATAGAATTCCATTATTTTTTACAGCGCATTGTAACAGAACCCGTTCACTGTTAACCAAGTCTCAAAACAGGCGGTGACAGTTTTAATATGCACGTGTCTAGCAAACCGGTTGCAAATCCATTTTTTGCAAAAAAAAACAACACCTGCAGCTTTTTACTCCGAAGTAAATAAAATTGTATATTGTTGTCAACAGGAATGGCAGCGTATCAGCAAAAGCGGAAGGGCCTTCGCGCCGCAAAAGCAACCTTCACAATGCCATGGCAGCAGACATGGACTCCTCCTGGGGTAATTTTCCTTTCAAAACGAACATACAACTACTTGAATGACATTTAGTTTAATTTTAAATGCAATTAAGTCCTTTGTAAGCAACGTGACTGCAGCTGCATATTGCCTCGATTTGAAGGCTCGATTTAATATAACATAATTACTAACAATTAAAAATGTTTGAGTTCGTTATCCCAATATATTCGCAGTATCTCCTAAAAAAACAGAATCGAGAGCCAACTAATGACCGGAACAAATATAACCCAGATTGATGGAAGGTTTTTAGACCTTGTTACAATTTTCCATAAAGTACACTGCAATCTATACTATAAACAATAAATGAAAGCAGTTGCAAGGTCAACCGACAGACGGTAATGAGGGTACGATGTGGAAACACCAGGTGTCTTGTACATACTGCTGCCGGTTCCCACGATTAGATCGATCGTCACACTCACTGTCATTTACTATCTGACATTCCACTGTTCGACACACAGACCGCCAGACACACATCGAGGGCAGATTCAAGAAGTATTCCACGACATCATCCGTTTACTCAAAGAAGGCGCTATCACAACAAAGCGAATACATTGAAAGGTATTGTTTAGATCTGTAATTTATTTCAGACTTCATAGTTATTTTTAAAGTTTTCGAAAGTTGATTTCGACTTAATTCCAAAACAATCTGGCTATAGGCTAAAATAATGGCTAGAGATTAAACCGAAATTGGAAATTGTTCAATTAAAAAACACCTTTTACTACTATAGTGATAGAAGGGGTTACAAAATTAACTTTAATTGCCGAAGAAGTTGATTAAAATGTATCTAGGCCAAACTAAGTAGGTCAAACCTATATTTCAACAATTAGCAATAATCATGTCACATTTTGTGAAGCACTAACTTCAAACAAAGGGCGACCACACTCTTTTGGCTCGGTGCGTAAAAAAAATTGATATGCTAAATTACCAAAAACCTTGACAAGTTCCAACGATAGGTGAACAGCTTTGCGATAGTTTTCAACACATAGCATGTTCGAGTTTGTTTATCTATTCGGGCCAACATATTTTTCCTGTAAACTTGAATTTTATTGTTCAAATAAATAGCTGGCGATACATTTAAAATTTGTCTATGCAATGATAGTAATGTTTGCTATATAATGCCATTTCCGCAGATCTTGGTGGTACGCGTGTTGCCAAAAGTGTCATTCAGAGGACTCCGGTATTCCCTCGTGGGAACCACCGAACTGGCAGAAAGTCTGCCCCTATCCACTATGTCCTTCATACCGGCAATTCGCACAAAACATCGCAGTACTAATCATTGGTAAGCTGTTATTTTATTTTAATTTTTTATTTTATTCTATTCTAGGAAACCAATTATGTCCTATTCTAGGAATAGGTATGTGAATGAATTAAATTAAATATAATTCAGTACGAATGAAGAATTCTACATTGGTTTTTCAATTGCCACTACTTTTTGCATTATTATTTATAACATTATGTCAGTTCTGAACTTTATAATATACTCCAACATATAGACTGCACGGTTGTCGCGGTGGCTGGGTAACTGGCTGCCGTGCAACGTGTCGCGGGTTCGATACCCGCACGGAACAACTCTTTGTGTAATCTACAAATTGTTTTGGGTCTGGGTGGATGTGTTTGTGAAATTGCATGTTTGTAAAAACACCCATGACACAGGCAAAAATCATAGTCGTTTCTTTTTTAAAGATAAAAAAAATATATGTTCATACATAATACATATTTACTGAAGCTCATTTGCTACATAAGGCATCATTTCTTATGGATGAGACTAACTTTAATTACATGATGACCAATATGATCTTAATTATTCATAGACTTTTCATTTAAGCGTTTAAAGGTCATGTATTACTCATAATCTAGGGTATTGATTTCGATTTTTAAAACATTATATATTTGACAACGATGATAGAATTGTATGTATGTTTCTTTGGATATTGATATAATACCTATTTTATTTATTACGATATAGGCATATTGGTGTGGGTGATCGTATGGATAGTGATGGGCGAGACAGCTGCGCCTGGGGGCCAGCTTTTCTCCTTCGCCGTACTGACCATCGCCGCCTACTTCGGAGGATGGCTCATGTTGAAGATTACAACGTTGCCAGCTCTCATAGGAATGCTTATAGTGGGGATCATTATGAAAAACGCCGGTCTCGTCAATTTTGATGAGACCTATCAACACGTTGCTTCCTATATCAGGTAGTTATACGAGTATTGACTAATTCTACATGTGTCCCAAAATTTACATTCAATATTCTTTTAACCTATTATTAATAAATGTTTTTTTTCTAAATATATTAAACCTGTCAATTACAATAGTACTTATTTCAATCATACCAACAAAGGTAATTTGGAAAACAGTCAACTGTCGGAACTTAATATAAAGACATACCTACTATATACTACATAAAAATGTAAATCAATGAAAAAAGTAAGAAATCTATAGTAAATCTATGAGTTTTGCCATGGCTATCTCAATTCTAGCTTTGAAAAGTGGACTCTAATTAATACAACTGTAATTGTGTTTCAGAAAAATTGCGTTAACTATCATCTTAACGCGTGCTGGCTTGGACTTGGACCCGAATGCTATGAAGAAGTACTTCTTAACAGTGATCAAGCTGGCGTTAGTTCCCTGGACATTCGAGTGTATACTCTGCGCAGTACTCGCCTATTTCCTACTAGGACTGCCCTGGAATTGGGGTAAGTTTCAAAGTTTTTACTTATTATATAATACTTTGTCTTATACCGTGAGGAGCAACCTCTCGACCTCTATTAGTGAGAATTCAAAACCTGGCAAATACCAATGAGACACTTTCCGAGTTTATGCAGTTTATTCAGTCATAGTGGTTACTGAATATGAAAGTGCGTAAGTAAACATAACATGTAACATACGGTGGAGAAAATTATTTTTGGGAAACTTGGACTTACAATTCCATTTTTAGATATACGAGTATGTTGAAAACTACCGATCAAAGTTCTATCCGTGCGAGTTTTTATTTAAAAAATAATTTGTTTAGCTTTTGTTTAAGTAGGTACCTTTTATCGGATAATAAAACCAATATACATAGATTAAGAAATAAATAAACTTATAAATTACAAACAACCACCGGATACACAAACTAGGTATATATATATATATGTGTATGTGCCTAACACAATAGATTTTAACGAAAGACTGAATACGTGCAATGATGCGTTACATCGCTACACAATCAACAATCCGGACCGAATTTCGTTGCCATAGCAACGATAGCCCTAACCACTTTATGTAGCAGTAGGTACCTCTGTAAGTCGATCCCTACGTGGTACTTATAACTAATCTGTTTATAAGAAATGGATCTGGTAGTCTGTTTGTAACATATATGTTATATCCGATTGTGATAACGCAAGATTCTTGAATAATGTACCTACCTAAAAATTATTATTAATCTTCAAGGTAACGCTTCAGTAGACTTTCAGTTGATTGTCCTGTTTTCTGAATCTAGATTCGTTCTCCGTACGTATGGGGCTGAGATTGAAAATGTATTACACAACATTTTTAATTGTGGTACCCATATACATAAGTTTAAATATCAATTATTTTTGGTAAACTTCTTTTTGGTTACTTAGAATCTAAAATCCAGGTTTTTAAAGAAAACAAGCTTATAAAAGCGTCTTAAAAAACGTGTTAATATTTTTGTTTGTTTTTGATAGTCGTATATAAAGTTATCATCCTGATAATTTATTTGCAGCGTTCCTATTATCATCAATCGTGGCTGCTGTGTCTCCGGCTGTGATCGTACCGTGCCTATTCAGGCTACGTGAGAAGGGCTATGGTGTCTCCAAAGGCATCCCAACCCTGGTGTTGGCAGTATCGGGCGTGGATGATGCCGCCAGTGTCGCTGTCTTCGGAATCGTCTCATCCATCATGTTCTCCAGTGCTTCTCTTACTATGAATGTTATTCAGGTACGCTTCGTGGAATTTGAAAGATTTTTAGCCTTTTCTATTTTAATTTTGCCAGTTCTTTTGGAAAATTTTGATCTAAGCCTTCGTACTTCACACTTAAATTGCAGTTATTGCTATTTTAAATTAGTATTTATATTATATTAATACAGCATCATGAAAAAAACGATTTCCGAAAAAAAACTTTTTATAACATGCAAATTCATGAGCTAAATTTGTATTAGGTACATGTTTATGTCAATTGCAGTCATTGCTAGCAGATTAGTTTGAAAAAAAATTGCAACCGAACTAGTTTAATCAAGTTTGACTAGTTGAAATATGTTTTTACTATATCTTGTATATCAACTCATCTATCTTGAATTTTATATCTTGAATTGATATACATTCAGTCAACAAAGTATCGGGAATGAAGGTTTTTTTATGGTTCCAAATTCGAATTTTAATTTTTTTTGTTGTTGTTAGATTGGCATAACTGTTTTCCATTTTGGCGCGGAATTTGAGTTGCATCTGTTGTTTATATTAAAAACAGTGCTGTTTTTAGTTTTATAATATCTAGTGTGTATTGCGAATTTCATAATGGACAAAAACACCGAACAAAGAGTTTGTCTTAAATTTTGCATCGCCAATGAAATTTCGTGTTCGGAGGCACTCAAAATGTTACAGAAGGCTTACGGTGAATCGACTTTATCAAAAACACGTGCTTATGAGTGGTACAAAGCGTTCAAAAGCGTTCGAGATGTGGTGGAAGATTTGCCTCGTTCTGGTAGGCCATCAACGTCTGCAACTGAAGTTAACATCGCAAAAGTGAAGGAAATAGTGACTGAAAATCCTCATTCAAGTTTGAGAGAGATGGCCGCCGAACTTTCTGTATCTCACGAGTCGATCCGTACCATTTTAACAAATAATTTGGGTATGAAACGTGTTGCCGCTCGGCTAGTCCCAAAAGACCTGAATTTTCTTCAAAAACCAAATCGCATGAAAGTCGCTGAGGACATGCTAGAACGAGTCAATACCGATCCAAGATTCATGAAACGCATTGTTACTGGTGACGAGACGTGGGTTTACGAGTTTGACATGCAAACTAGTCAACAAGCTTCGGAATGGCGCCTTCCAACTGAACCAAAACCGAAAAAACCACGTCAAAGTCGATCAAAAGTCAAAGTCATGTTGACTGTTTTCTTTGACTATCGCGGTGTTGTGCACTCAAAATTCAAAATAAAGGTCAAACGGTAAATAAAGAATATTATTTGAGCGTTGTGCGGCGTTTAAGAGAACAAATTCGACGAAAAAGGCCAGAAATGTGGAAAGAAAATTCTTGGATTTTGCATCACGATAATGCGCCTTCGCACAAGGCCATCATTGTAAACGATTTTTTGTCCAAACACTCAACAAACACCATCGAGCAGCCACCATATTCACCAGATATGGCTCCAGCCGACTTCTTTCTTTTTCCCACACTCAAATTACCCCTTCGTGGCACCCGTTTTCAATCGTTAGAAGACATAAAGGAGAATTCGCGGCGAGCACTGAACTCAATTCCGGAAACAGCGTTTAAAAAAAGTTTCGATGATTGGATTATTCGTTGGCGTAAGTGTATCGTTTCTGAAGGAGCATACTTTGAAGGTGATAAAATAAATTTAGATGAATAACAAACATTTTGTGTATTATTGACTTTTTCCCGGCACTTTCTTGACAGAGTAGTATAGTAAAAACATATTTGAAATGTCACGTGATTGTTAGAGAAAATAATATCTCGCAAGTTTCAATAAGAATTACTGCAATTTTTAAAACAATGGTGAAATGCCGGCTATTTTAAATGCTGCTTCATTAATTAAATTCAGGTTGCAATGTTTTAGAAAAATTATCTTAGCCGAAATTAATAACATTCCTTACATATGTTCCTGTCAGGCATGTACAGTGTGTATGAACCAAAACAATACACAGTCACAATGATAGCGGAACAAAATAACATCCTGTATGTAATGTTATGAGACTATTGAATTTGTGTCTTTACTACGCAGCCCTTTATCTCTGTTCTCGACACCGATCATGTACTGAACTTACATTTTAAAATATTCAATTTTAAGCCTCTGGCTATCGACCAAAAAATATTGAAGGATAATCCTATGTTAGGAAAAACTTTTTCTAGAATTTGTTCACCTCTCGAATTTTATTCTCTCCCTTTTCATCCTCATCAGCCTATAAGTGCCCAGAGCTGCAGAGCCAAGGCCTTTCCCACGGATAAAGTTTGAGCATTACGTGAGAAACGTAGTGAACGTTTGCTTAAGGTGGATCTGTGAATGATGATGAAGATTCATGATGATTATAAATGAATTAAAAAAATAAATTTCTTCATATATTTCCAGGGTCCATTGAGTGTGATCGGTGGAATAGTGCTGGGAATATTATGCGGCTATCTAGTGAAGTTTGTTCCGGAGCGTAATGACGCCTTCTTGGTGCCTCTACGAGTTATCTTACTGCTGGCTGGTGGATTGATGATGGTACTCGGCTCTGAAGAAATTGGATGGGGTGGTGCTGGTAAGTAAACCTCCTTTTATATTTCACTTATCAGGAGAAGGAAAACAACTGAAGCCAGAAACTAACAAAATCGTAATTAATGCAGCGAGCGACAAAATGTTTGCACTTATCCACGCGTACAAATGCTAGTATCATCACTTCAGGCGCTTCATACCCCTCTCAAAAATAAGATAAATATCTTTTATTTTATTTAAAAACTAATACACTTATAAATTATGTACGTTGATATGTCCTATTGGAACCGTACATCCAAAGTGGATTAATAAAATCCTTTTACTTATGCATTGACACATGGCAATAGTGTAATAAAAAAAACAGTACGGAACAGACAATAAACCAAAATGGCTTCCCTCCATCCAACATAAAACAGGATTGATTATTCCGCAGAATTTACAAATTCGTAAAAAGAGGAGCACGTTGCTACTAGTACTAACTGGGTAATTGTAAAAACTGTAGTCAACAACTGCGGATGATTGTTTTCGCGGAGTACGGTAACTTGGCTTGCACCGAACAATGCCTTGTTGTGTGTCAATGGCGGTGTTGCCAAGTGATAATGTCAAGGAAACAATGTGAATTAGCAAAAGGTATCATGCGCTTGATTTATTTGGTCCACTGTTTAATGTTTTCTTGTTTACATCACATGACTTCTTTTGTGTCATTATGTGTATGTATGTGTATTTTTATCTTGTATAGGGTGGAAAACGAACCGGCCTACATCCGATGACCTGATGGTAAGCGATCAATACCGCCCATGGACACCCGCCACTCTAGAGGAGTGATTAGTCCGTTGCCGGCCTTTAGAGGATTAGAGGATAGGGGATGAATAGATTGGAAGAATGGGCCTCCGTTAATCTCGATAATGCGGTGAAGCACTACGCATACATTGTTTCACGTCGTAAATTTTAACATTTTATTGCATTACTAGCTTTTGCCCGCGACTTCGTTCGCGTGAAATAGTGACTACCTGCAGATTTAAAAACTTTTCCTATGTCCTTTATCGAGTTCCAAACTATGTCTGTGCCAAATTTCACAGAAAACGGTTCAGTAGTTTAGGCGTAAAGACAAAGACAGACAAACAAAGTTAATTTCGCATTTATAATGTAAGTATAGATATTATAGATATGAATAAATCATTATTTTGTACGAATAAAAAAACAAACCTTCTGAGGAGAAGCTCAACACGGCGCTTCTTGGGATTGCCGGTAGAAAGGAAAATGTCTATATAGTTGAACATTTATCACCGGCAAATAAGGCGCTGCATGCTGCGACCAGGATTAAAGCGAAGACTTTGGGCTACAAGTATGTGTGGGTTCGTGGCGGTAAGATTTTTATTAGAAAACATGATGGTGCAGACTACAAATATATCAGAGACACCGAATCGTTGGACAGTTTACAATAAAAAAAAAAGCATTGGATAAGGTATAGGACTGTTATAGTTTTAAATTCGATGAGTTAAAAATATACTACCAGAATGTAAGGGGTATCAGGACTAAATTGGGTGAAATTTACCAAAAAGTTGCATGCTGTTCATATGATGTAATATTGTTAACAGAAACTTGGTTACTGGATGGTATCTTTGACTCGGAGATCATGGACAGTCGTTATTCTATTTACAGGCGTGATAGATCCCGTAATATATTGAATGATAAAACAGACGGAGGTGGCGTTCTTATTGCAGTGTCCACTAAAATAGAATCACAGAGATTGATAAAATTTGAAAGTTCGTGCGATGATCTCTGGGTCAAGTTGTCACATATAGAGGGTAAGAAAGCCAAAGAGATTTATATTTGCACTGTATACTTACCGTCGCCGTTACAGCCTAGAGTACTTGAACATTTTGTTGATAATACTAACAAAGTGTTAGAACACGTCAATGAATGCTTGATTATTGGTGACTTTAACATGAACACTGTTAACTGGCTTGGAATGGGTGGTGATGTGATAAGAGCTCCACAAAACACTTGTACAAATTTAGAACGAACTCTTTGGGACTTTGTCTTGCTCAATAACTTAAGACAATGTAATTATTTGTGTAATCAAAATAATAGAATTCTTGATCTGGTCCTAACTAACTTGGATCATGTTGCAGTAAGTGCACCAACAGATGTACTTTCGAAACTAGATGTGCACCATCCACCTATACTATGTGAGCTCTCATTTACCCATTTCAAAAATCCACGCTATTGTAATAATAGAACTAAGCTAAACTATCATAGGGCAGATTACGTGGCGATTGGCGAGGCACTGGAGCAAGTCGATTGGCCATCAGAGTTTGATGCTTGCATGACTGTAGATCAGATGGTAGATATTTTTTATAATTTACTGTATGGGTTAATTGAACGCTACGTTCCAAAAGTACCAATAAAATCCACTAAATATCCGTACTGGTTCTCTAGGCAGCTTATTAAAAGATTAAATGAGAAGAACCGCTTACGGCTTAAAGTTAAAAAGTATAATAATCCACTGGACATTATTGAACTAGATGTTCTTAGGAAAAGATGCGACCATATGGCCACGACTTGCTATTCTGCTCACATTGCTGATATGGAGGAAAAAATCACGTCCAACCCAAAATATTTTTGGAGCTACCTAAAAATGAAGAGAGGCGGTACCAGTAACTACCCCAGTTCCATGACAGATGGTATAAACACCTCTGACAACATAAATGAAATTTGTAATTATTTTGCCTCTCATTTTTCAAAGGTGTATGGTACTGTTGGAAATGGTGTCCATGCGACCGCACATGCTGACACGGATAGCTGCATAAGTAATAGCATGTTAGGCCAAATAACTATCCCACAAGATCAGATCCGCAAAGAATTAAAAAAATTGGATATATACAAAGGAGCAGGCCCTGATGGCATACCTGCTCTGCTTTTAAATAAGTTGGCGGATATTCTATCATTGCCATTAACCATCATATTTAATTATTCTCTGCTGCGGGGTAGCTTTCCGACTATTTGGAAGCAAACCAAAATTGTGCCAATTTTCAAAAACGGGGATCAGTCCGATGTGAGCAATTATAGGCCTATCGCCATTCTCTCCACTCTGGCTAAGGTATTTGAAGCTCTTATATGCCCTGTGCTTGTTAGACATTTATCACAGCTAATAATAGACAACCAACACGGATTTATGAAGGGAAAATCGACAGCTACCAATTTGGTGTCCTATGTTGAAGGCATTGTGGAGGAGGTTGATACGCGTGTCCAAGTTGATGCAGTCTACACCGACTTTAGCAAGGCTTTTGACGTAGTAGATCATGACATACTCGTCATGAAGCTTAAAAGATATGGCGTTTCAGACCCTCTTCTGAGTTGGGTCCAATCATATTTGTCTGGTCGGACGCTCAGGGTTGTGATAGATGGCTGTTCTTCAAAATCGTACATTGCAACTTCCGGAATACCCCAGGGTTCTCATTTGGGTCCGCATTTATTTACTCTGTTCATAAATGACATTTACAAATGCTTCTCGAACTCGATGATATTCTTGTTCGCCGATGATCTAAAAGTCATGAGGTCTATAAGAAGCCCTGCGGATCCGGCATTATTGCAAAGCGACTTGGACCGGTTGACAGAGTGGTGTGAACACAATAAAATGTCACTAAATGTTAGAAAATGTCAACACATAAAATTTTCAAAAAATAAAAATATCTTGCAGTCAGCATACGAAATTAATGGTGAGCGACTTATTGATGTTGAAACAGTACGAGATCTAGGTGTACAGTTCAATAAAAAGCTAAGTTTTGTCGAACATATTGACAAAACTATTTTAAAATCCATCAAGATGCTTGGTTTTGTAATGAGAGAGTGTAAAAATTTCAAAAAACCGGCCATCAAAAAAGTTATGTACAATTCTCTGGTAAGAAGCCATCTCGAGTATTGCAGTGTGGTTTGGTCGCCTGTATATAAGGTTCACATCAAACGCATTGAGCGGCTGCAGAAGCGGTTCTTGTGGCATCTTACTTATGCCAGTAATATGGGAAACAGGCTTAAATCGTACCATGAGCGACTGAAGCATTTTGGGATGGTGTCGCTGGAGAGACGCAGGGTTATGCTTGATTTGGTTTTTCTTAAGAAGTTAGTAACGGGCTCTCTTAACTGTCCCGACTTGCTCAGTAGGGTCTTATTCCATGTGCCACGTATTCTGCCGAGAAGCTCTAACAGGAAACTTTTTAGCATGCCGAGATGTCGCACCAATTTGAGACAACACTGTCCACTATCACGAATGTATACTGCTTACAAAGAGCACGAAGCGGATATTGACTTGTTCACCTCTTCTGTACATGCTATTAAAAGAGCCACGCTTGCTATCTAATGGGTACCTCTAATCAATTAGTCAAATTTCATTGTTTTAAATTAAATTAAATTTAATTAATTTTTAAAATCTAATCTATTTTACTTAATTTTGTGTGTTAAGTATCTAATTCAGATTTTATTTTTTGTAATCAATTCAGCTTCAATTTAACTTTTCTGATAATGTATTATTTATTCAAAATCGATTAATTATTTTACTACCCTCGCATAATATTATAGTGCATGCTGTGCTTCTCTATAAGTAATGGGGCACTTAGAATTAAGTTTGAAATGTACAAATTATATAGTATAGTGTACTCATTGTTGAGAAGCCTATAATAAATAAATAAATAAATAAATAAATAAATACACTTTTATTTAGTGTAGACACTTTTAGTTTTACAATATTAGACATCGCTTTATTTCAATTGTATGCTTTGCGTCATTAACTTTCTTATTTTTATTAGATTACCTACTAACTCCCGCCCGTGACTTCGCACGCGTTGAAAAGTAATGTTTTCCGGGATTATTAAAACAGCAGCATTTTAAGCGATTCCTTGACTAAAATACACAGATCAGTACTATAATTTATAGCCTCAGGAACATTATAGCTATAATCTATCAGTGAATGAATTCTGGAGCAGCGGTTCCGAAAATTTCCCCCTACATACAAATTTACATATTTTACCTCTTTATAATGTTAGTATAGATACTTATTGTATTTATCCTTTTTCAGGTCCATTGGCAGTTATCGCGTTCGCGTTCGTGGCTTGCAAGAACTGGACAGACCTTGGCTGGGAGCTGGAAGACAACCCGGTAGCCACCGCCTTCGAAATATTCTGGATGTTCTTCGAACCTATGCTCTTCGCAGTAACTGGTGCTCAAGTTGTAGTAAGTAATTTATATTAAAAAAATATATACCTAAGTAGCTACTACCGCGCGGTTTTATCCGCTCTTCGGCTCCTATTTGTCTTAAGGTCAGTTTTATAAAAATACAACAAGCGATTTCAAAGATTACCCCCTACACAAACATCTTTTACCTCTTTATATGTAATATTAGTATAGACAAATATGTAACAATAAATTTTGTGTGAGACTGCTTTATTGATCTTGTTAAAGCTACTGCCCTAGAGTGGTCTAGTAAAAAAACTTTGGTTTTATTTTCTAGACAATTATAATATAAGCAAAAACAATCTCAGCTATAACTTATAAAATAAGTACAAGTAGCCTTCTTATATCAGACTTACATAAAACCTGGCTACCTGGATTATATAGGTAATACTAATCCGATATTAAATTAAAACTTTCAGATCGCAGATCTTGAACCCCACTTGGTTTTGATTGGTGGTGGTATACTGGTGCTGTGTGCGGTACTCCGCGCCATCGTGACCAGCACCTGTGCAGTCCGCAGCAACCTCAACATGAAGGAAAAGATTTTCGTCGGCCTCGCCTGGATGGCCAAAGCTACAGTACAGGTAAATAAAGCAGATAAATATGAACACAGATAAATATTTTTATCTCAGTATTACAATACAGTGAAAGTGACTAGGCACTAGATCATGTCAATTATATAATTGTACTGTATTCTAAATTTTAGTAACCTTACTATAGGACTAGAACGAAGACCATAAGTAAGAAAAGTGTTTTGTTATATAGCACCAAAATATTATTACTACCAGACCATTTTTTTTATTTGATATACTACTATATTTTTCTTTTTTACTACTACAAATTTCCTTCAGTCTTCTAAAACTATATGTTTCTTTTAGGCCGCTCTCGGACCAGTTGCTTTGGATGAAGTGCGTAAAATGGCCGGCGGAGAGCCTGACCCAGTGATGATAGAGTACGCAGAGACCGTGATTACAGTTTGCATCATGTCCATCGTGATCACCGCACCCATCGGAGCCATCGTCATCACGCTAACTGGGCCCAAACTACTCTCAAGAACAACTAAGCCACCGGTCTTGGAAGGTAAGATATATTATACACTTTACTTTGTTTAACACCTACATACATATAACCTTGCTTAGTTCTCAGTGTGACCATAATTACAAAGATGAGTCGCTAACAAAAATGTGGACAAACAAGGATGCCACAACTTATAAAGCCTATTCAATGTCTTCAATACCATTTACTACACGATAATTGCAAATTGAAATAACGACAATGTTTTATTATACAAATCATTTAATGTATTATACATTTTATAGTTATTATTAGGTACTATACATTTTTACAGTTGTGTTTACATATACAACTCAAAATAACACGATTAACTAACGAGCAAAGATTAAAAACTCTTATAATTAGGTAGAACAAAGACAAATGTTAAAAATGTTTACAAAATAATACGCGTTTAGTGATAAGAGAAGTTTTGCGGCGGCACTCTACGGGGATCATACGCTGTATTATTTTGAGGATAGAAGAAATTATTTTGACCTTGATTCTGAGGATAATTAGGAGCACTAGGGTTATAAGGGTTATAATTGCTATTATTGTAGGGAGATTGTCCGTAGGGAGAACCATTAGGCTGCATGGGGAGGGGAGAAGAATTGTTACTATTATAAGGAGGATACTGACCGGGACTCGAGTACGGTGGGCGTTGACCAGTCGCATTGAATGGTTGAACTGGATGCATATTGCCGTATGAAGGATAGTTATTGTTATAAGGCGATTGACCAGGGTATGAAGAATTGTAAACGTTTTGCCCTGGACGATTGTTGTAAGAAGGTATAGGAGTGGAGTAAGTAGAATTTGGTGGTCTATACCCACCCGGGTAAGGCGAAGAATTGAATGTTTGATTCTGGAAAGGATGCTGTCCATACGGTGGTTTGTAAGGATATCCTGCAGTTGATGTATTGGAAAATGGGTAATTAGAATGAGGATTGTACGGATTTTGACCTGACGGATTATAAGGGCTAGGTGTAGGATTATAACTAGTACCAGGTCTCGAAGAATTGTAGCTGTTCGGGTTCCATTGTGATGGTCGTTGGTAAGGATTTACGCTCGAAGAATTATAACTTGGGTGTTGATTAGCATTTGGGGCATAAGGATTATAACCTGGAGGATGCTGATTTGGATTTGGAGTGTATGGGTTATAACTTGTCGGTTGCTGATTTGGATTTTGGGTGTAGGGATTATAACCAGGTTGTTGAGGATTTGGGGAATAAGGATTATAACCAGGTTGTAGTTGATTTGGTTGTGTAGTATAAGGATTGTATCCAGGCTGCTGTTGATAATTGTACGGGGGTCCCGAGGGTAGCTGTGGATACAGTGGTGAATACCCATGAGCTGCTTGCCGTCTCTGCCGTTTGATTACGTCATCCGCCGCACCATTTAGAGTTTTCTCGACTGAACCTTCATTTTGATTGCGAAAATCTTCGACTGTTGTTATAAATAAGCCGTTCTCATTTTCTGCTGCAACTTCCAATTCATTTTCGTCTTCTATTGACGGCTCTGCAAGTTGAGGCGACAATATGTCCAAGTTATCCCGTTGAATAATGTCATTCACTCCATTTATATTAATTTTCAAACCACAAATACCACTGCATAATACTAACAGTATTATTGCTTTATAGGGTCCGTGCACTATTCTCAACATTTTAATGATTACTGGAAACTAACATCACAAATATAACACTCACAAAATAGTATTCGGATAAACTTCGACCTTATTTATCTGACGATTGAACGTATGTATGCGCGATAGACACAAGAGATCATGACTAAACCTTGTTCTTGACAAGCTGTATATGTATGTATATGTACATACCTAAGTACGCGGCCGAGTTTTATAGGCACTAATTTTCCTGTTTGCGTTCTACAATGTACAGGTATGTCTTTTGTTCATGTATTTAACGTGTGAATATTTTTTTTTGAAGGTTGGCGACGATCCCACCGTCCGTCTATCCGCGACATCTCTATCATCGACGAGGAAGAGGTGGCGGAACGCGATGCGGAGGCAGAGGCGGAACACTCGCGGCCGAGCAGCCCGAAGGCCCGGCCTGCAGTGGCCAGCAGCACTCCGGCGCCCATCACCGTTCAGCCCGGACACAACAGCTCTTGACTGCCATAACTTCTACAACACTTCGATCACTGCTGCCATTCCATTTGCGACCTTGTTCGACCCCACTTTTACTATGAGCTGCTTAATGGTCTCGTATAATTTATTGATACAGGGATTTAGTAAGACGACGCTCACACGAAGGCGTTCTGTAATGGATGCGCGCAACAACGGCCTGAGTCATTTTGTTCGAAAGATATTCAAATGCCTGTCTGGGCATTAGAGTAACACAAACTACATGTGTACATCCGTGTAGTCCGGTTTCATCCTCATTTACGAAATTAGTACAGAGAACCCACGAATGTAAAAATTACCTAGATATGCTTTACAGTTACACAGAAGTAAAGTTATATTTGTCACATTTCTATTAAATTTGCAAATTACACATATATTTTAACTCAGTGAAGTCGAGGTATAAATACAAAAAGTTGATATTTTATAAATATCTATGTACACATCTATCGTAATTTCGTAAATATAAAGGACCAGTAAATAATTTCTAAAGCAATTTACACCATTTTGAAAGATATAGTTTGTTACAAAATTTAGGTACTTAGAGAGGGTTTAGTTTAAGATATAGTAGTTGTATAACGTTCATGTGATAAAGGTGTATACTTAATTATTTGCTGTTATGAAACCTCTTTAGTGAAGTTTTACTATAACAACTTACAATGAAATATTACCGCTGTAAAAACACATTTAACTTATAAGAACTTTGTCTACATTATTCCTATAGGTTTTATTTCTTATAGTGGTCATCAGTATTGTTATTATTTATGAAAACGATTTAGTTTAGGTATCAGAACGAATATTTTTAATGTTATTCGGTACAAACAATTAATTACTTAATGTAAGGCTCGATGCAGCATATCCATTGCTCATTGTCGATATGTATTTTAGATAATTAAGTAGTCTGTATATTATGTGTAAAAATGTTTCTTCACCTTTTAATGTACGTAGGGATATCTACGTACTGATTAGTTTTGTATAGTATCATTTGTAAATAACACCCCAAGTCACATTTTTGTGTAAGTACCTAATTATATGCATCGTGGAATTCAATTATTTTAGAGTGAACTGTGGGACCAATTTATTTTTTTAATAATACCACAATTGAACCTGATGTTATAACAACTAAACAGACATCGCTGATCACGAAGTATTATTATATCGTATCATTAAATTAAATACTATTTACTGTTATTGTGAAATCATCACTGTCTGTTTTCTACATTATTTATGAATTGAATTTAAAAAAAAATCTATAAAATTATGTAAAAAAATAATTGTTTCAAATATCATGATGAAATTATCGAAAAAAGTATAAAAGCAATAAAATATTTACAAAGACATTCGATTGTTGTAAGTTTATTTTAGTATTAGTAAAATATTTTCCCATTCGTAAATTTTTTTATTCCTATTGAAAAGAACGTGACCCACACTAAGACTTGTGTGGTCTGTGGCCTGTGTTCCGACCGTTTACAAAAAACAATTTCACACACACATCACACCCAGATCCAGAACAACCATTTGTAGACCACACAGTGTTGTTCCATGCGGGAATCGAACCTGCGACATGTTGCTTGGCAACTCGTTGCCCAGCCACCGCGCCAACCGTGTAGTCGTGCTTTTTTTGTGAGGGGCGAACATCGATCACTAATAAAGAACTAGATACACAATCCCATACAAAAGTTCGCTTCAAAACTGTCGCCAACTGTATTTAGGTACTTATACTTGAAATAAACATGCATAAATGTAAATTAAACCTTAAATGCAACTCATAGAGTTGTTTTCACAAAGTAATGTACAAAATCTAAACATTTTTTGCATAAATCATAAGAAATTGAACCATATGCATGTTTGCATGTTTTTAAGTCGAATTTACAAAGTGTCAAAAATAAGCAATAAAATTTAACGACTTCGGCTCACCGCTAGGACAAAGAATGATTGGAGTCGAAATGTCTCGTAAGAAATATATTTCTTTCATATTTTTTTGATAATTTACCAAAAATGTCGTGGTGGCCTGGAGTGTCGTGGTGGCCTGGAGTGTCGTGGTGGCCTGGAGTGTCGTGGTGGCCTGGAGTGTCGTGGTGGCCTGGAGGTTAAGGAGCCCGCTTCTCATGCATGAGGGTGTGGGTTCGAAACCTGGCAAGTACCAATGTGACTTTTTCAGAGTTATATGTACTTTCTATGATTATTTAGACATCACTGACATACGGTGAAGGTAAACATCGTGAGGAAACCTGGACTTATAATTTCTAATTATAAGTTTGAAATCGCCAACCCGCATCGAGCAAGCGTGGTGATTAATGCTCAAAACCTTCTCCGTGCGAGAAGAGGCCTTTGCTCAGCAGTGGGCACTTATAGGCTGATGATGATGATGATGATTACCAAAAAAAAAAATACGCAAATTAAAACGCATTACTTATAGTATTCTTTTCTATAGGTTTGTTCATTTATTTACCAATGGAACTAATGCATATAGTTATCCTTCCTAAATTTGGAATATTTTTCAAAGTATATATATGTATACTTTGAAAAATATTCCAAATTCGAAGTCAAATAAAAAAGATGTAAAATAATAAAAAGAATATATATCTAAAGTACTGAAAACGTTGGCGTTATTGTTGTCAATTTTTTATATCGCACGGGATTTTGATGAAAGCTAAAAAAAAATGTCTTTACTGCAGTTAAAATTAAATCCATTATATCTGCCTATTCCATATTTTAATAAACACAGTAAAGAAGTATAATATTAAATAAAAACTATTTTTAAATAAAAATAAACAATAAATAAAATTAGAAACAATAGCGTCTCCACTAAACGGAACAGAATCAATCCACGTAAACCGAACAACTTAAGTGGTCATGCTAGAGAATGATTTTACGTTTAGTATAAGTGTCTTTATAAACTGTGTGCATTATAACCCCGGTTTTTGAATACGATTTCATTTGGAAAAAGTTTTAAAGTTGATTTCTTAATAAAATATCAATATTTAAAATAGAATGATGGCAATTATATAATGATAATATTATTACTTAACGAAAATATGAAAATCCATCCTTTTTTGCGTCTTAGATGTGTGTTTTTTGCAGTTTTTAAACGAGCACTGAGGCGTGTTTACCGTCGGAGCATTCGAGTGGTACAAAACTAAAACTACACCGCGATGTTGAGTTTGGTGGACTTTCAGTTAGGACATTTTTTTGTCACTGATTGTGTATCTAGTTCTTTATTAGTGATCGATGGGGGCGAATCATCAAATGGCTTCTCTCGCACAGAGTGAAACGAGAGCGAGTGCCAGACTATTACTGACTAAAAACCCTATCCTGCTCCAGGACACATCTCAATATTTGTCTATTTTCATAAAATAATCTAGCTACGGTCACCATTTGTTTTTGGCGGCAGTCCCAGACGACTAGTCAACTTCTGAGTAAACAATCAGCCCATAACATTATTATAGGTTACAGTTAAAAATCCCATAAACTAGGCACAGACACAGACCAATAAATTCTAGACCAAACAGTCTCGCTAATTCAGTATTTCACTATAACTCTGTGCGCAAAATTGGAAACTACAAGAATAAACTCCAAAAATAAATTATCTTTTTAATTATATTAATTTGAATTTAAAAAATAAACTGCAACGTAGTCTAAAAATGGTTTGGAAGAGTTTTAATGTTTATTTTTAACACGATTTATAAATTTTATAAATTCACTTATTGCCAATTTTAAATTATATCACGACTCGGCTGGCTTGTACAGAGTGATACCACGGTCCGACTGTATATCGGCATGAAACACTATGTATTTACGTTGCGTTTGGCTCTTTGAGACAGCTTCCAGAAGCCCAATCCTTCTCCCACCCACAATACCCAAATCCCTTATCCTTATCAATAAAAAATATAAATATCAATATAAATCCCTATCAATCCAACAAAGGCTGTCAACTCCTTATGAGAGTCGAGTCCATAGGTGGCTCCAATCTCAATCCAATGCTATCAATGCGTAAGTAACTTTGACTAGGTATCTGTCTGTCTGTCCTACTGAACCGATTTGGATTAAATTTAGTACAGGCGTAGTTTGAAACTCGAAAAAGGACATAGGATAGTTGTTATCCCAGGAATTGAAAAGAGAACTTTTACATGATAAGAAACTTTGTTCTTTGGTAAAACCAAAAATCTGCCAGAACTCACTATTCCACACGGACAAAGTCGCTGGCAGAAGCTAGTAAATAAATAAAAATAAAATTGGAATGAAGAATGTTTTTATTTTTTCGTCTTTTCCTAATCCATTTTTTTATACTAATTAAAAATATAGATTCGTGAAGGCGTTATAAATTCTAAGCGATAATCTAATCTTATATTTAATTTTATATTATTATAACCATTATAACTATGTGCTCTAGGGGTACATTATATGTCACATAACAACTTATACTATAGTTAATATAACAAAGAGATGATTTTGATTAAGTATGTAAAATAACAACAATTATTTTTTTCGTTTAGTCGTACCATAACCAATTTTTTTTTTCAATTTGCAACTATCTTGCTCTTAACCCGTTGAATGTCGGTTTATAAGACACAAAAGAAAATGCATTGTGTCTCGTGTGGATCCACGTTTAAAACATACGAAAGGTTAAAAAAGAATTCACAATAGGCATTCAAAAACTAAAATACTTTTGTTTGGATTTAGGGTCTGTTTCATTATTTATTTAGAACATAGAATTGAATTTTGAATATAGAACGTAATTTATGTGAATAATGCCACATTTTATTAATTACTTATATGTCAAAAGATGGACAAATATGTAGATTCTTAAAAGTGAAGGAAAATTAAAATACAGTCTTAATTTTATTTGTTAAAAATACTCGAGAGTTTTACATAGGTATAATAAAATTGCTGTCAGAAGGTATAATCATTAAAGTAACAATTAAAATATGTAACATTTACATACGGTTAAAAATGAAATTGCATTGATATTTGCGAAATTACAAAGTAAAATGCATGTTTAGTTATGACTTAGCCTTGTTATATAAATTTGTAACATAATAAATTATAAGATACTTATTATTAGATAAAAATACTGTTTTTTTTACTGCTAGACAAAAGGAATAAAAACTTTTGGGTTGTCATGAGTCAAAAATACTTACTGATATAAAATAATATTCCATCTAAAATGTAAAAATGCAATTATTTAAAGCTCTAGAAGATAAAAGGCAGCTCTTCAAAGGCACGTGTAACACGTTTGTATGTAAATATATATATACATATACTAAGGGTTGATTTTTCAATAGTCAGATATATGTTATCTGAAGAATAAAATTGTTGCTGTCCCTGTCTTATGCAAACATTCTGACGCGACAGCATCATAATTATTCCCCAGGTAACTTTTATCTAACCATTGAGAAATCAACGCTTAATTATAATTTTATCATTATGGTGTAGCACCATCACAAACATTTATATTATAACAGACATTTCTTCTGACTTTGAAGATTCCGTTAAAGTACTCGAAAAATGATTTTGTCTCGTTGAGATAATAAGCCGTTAATCACCAAAATCTTATTAAAGTTACGTTAAGATCTTTGATCTATAAAAGAAAGTTTAAAACTTCCCCTTTTAATTATTATCGGTCTCCATTCGCAAATCAATCAAACCATAATCACTTTTACAATTCCATTTCAATTAACAATATAATGTTAACAATATTAATATGATTACAATAGCAAGCTACACCATAACAGAAGGTACATAAGCGAGTGAGGACCTAAATCAATAAGTCTCAAGGTTTCACTTGGATCAACAACAAACGCATTGTCTATTAATCAACTAACGCACCTATTTATGTAAATACGTATATTCATGTATAGTTATGGAATAAGACTGTATACTTATAATCTAAAACATTTAAAATGCTCAATGTATAAAACGAAGACTTGTTCAGAACAGCTTTCAAATAGGCACTTCAGTCACAATCATATTTTGTGTTAGACTTAGAGCCTTACAATCATACAAACAAAGCACAAATTTCAATTTCACATAATGAATGATGGATGACACTTTAATAATCACTTAATCTATGACTAGATCAATATTAATATAATTTTGAAAAAGTATTAAAATGAATACGGTGATTCGATGCAAACAATTACATGCTATCAGAAGCTTATTATTTATTGTGTCGAGAACTTTATGGACAGGCTGTGGCCGAAATTATTAACTTCATCAGTTGCTTCCTTAACGTTTACGAAGAAGTTTTGACACCTACTGTTGCGGCAAAGCGGACAACACTGGATACGCGCTGCGAATATCCGGCGCAACAAGTTCACTCTTCTCAAAACCAACCGCTCGGTAGACGCACGTATATTTTGTTATACGTACCTATCGCAATTCAAGTCAAATTCAAAATTGTAACCGCAATCCTAAATACAACATTATTTAATTCGAATCAGATTTTCATTCAAAATCCATTCGAAACACCTACAAAATTAAAGTTGCTCAAAAATGATTAATAATTTCGGCCACAGTCACCCAAATAGGCAGAGATTTAGTGGCGACTCCATGTCGATATAGTTAAGGCTGCTTGACATTATTCTGTAGAGAGAGCCGCGTGTTGGTACGCTCGTCAGTGCTGAGCGCTCGAGACAGGAACGTTGAAGATGTCCGCGCTGACGATGATGTACCGTTCTTCTGAGCATCTGGCTTCTCCAACCCTGTTGTATATTAGTAAAATATTAGTCACTAATAGCATGAACCATATTATTATAGGAGCGAATCAAACCTCTTTTGTAATGAGAAACTAAAGTTAAAGTCTTAAACGCGCTTTTCAGTCTAATTTTCATTATTGGAAAGCTTAGTTAAATTAAATCAAATATTTATTAAATCAAATTAGAATATATAAATATGTATGTAATTTTTTTTAAATTGAAGAATTCAAAAGTAAAATCAAACAACAAGAAAACAATATTGGTTACATAGAACCGGACGTCTTGGTTATCTCAATGAAGTTTTGTATTAAGAAGTGCAATAAATGGTGTTCAATGATTTGACAATATATTTGAAATAATTTGTGTAGATACAGCAACTCATTGGTAGTTTAATTAATCACTACAAGTGACGAGTTTAACATATGAAAATTACGTGTTTATATACTGTATTACACACCGTGTAATTTTGTGAAATTAATCGGCAAAACAACAGTGACATGTGTTGACAAAAATATAGGGTGCACTCTGGAAGGTTATTAATTAGACATAGGAGACAAATTAAGTAGATAACGCTATCTAAATTAATTCGTAAATTATTAAAAAACAATGCATATAGATCTCATTACACTTGTAATGTTAGCTCAGTGTGTGTTAATTAAGCGAATTCGTCACAGCGAGCTAGGCGGACCACGTTAATAGTGGTGTTAAGTTAGAGAGAAAATAACATCAGGCAACAGAACAATACAACGTTCAAAAAAATTAATTAATTTCTCTAATATATACTTGTGTCAATCGGTATCGATGAGCAACCTGAAAACAATAAATACAACTCTCTTATTGTGAAATTTTTGTACGAAAAACACAAAACATCTTATCAATTTGTCGAATTTGAGTCAGACACTTGAGACAAATAATTCTTTGAATGTAGATAACAGTGGGTAATCACAACACTGAAATAAATTATGACAAATATAATTTGGTATTCATGTTTCGTAGTATTGATGGATTGCTATACAAAACACGTCCTTATGCACAATGATCGAATCCTTAATACCATTAGACAATTTGAATAACAACATGGCTTTAAGTATTTTATTCCTTTGTTACATTCTTCGGATTACTTTATTCACTTTTCAAAGTCAAAGACGAATCAATTAGATCATTATGGGCCTTTTGAACGACAAACAAAATATAAGAAAGTAAAAAGTATCAGTCAGTAAAGGTCTGTCATTTGTGTGTGAAGATATTTGGTTTTTCCAAACTGTAGAATCCTATGGAGATGAAAAGAGCAACTGAAACTTAATGGTCACTCTTTTTCAATAACTTTCGCAATAAAATTCTTTGTTGCATTATTAAGTCGGTTTCATTATGTGAAAACGGTGTAACAATATTATTCAGCCCCGATTATAATAAGGTTGTTGTCAATACAGTCGTTAAATAAGTTTTATGATTAAACTACTTGGAACACTTTGATAGCTCCTGGACCAATAAACAAAAACATTAATATTTAACTTACCTAGCCTCTTTCTGATGAGGTAATAAAGTTTGGGCTTCATGACAAGAATGAGGAAAATGAGGACTCCTTGGAGCTCGTTCATCAGGTCGATGATGGTCCATAACCACCACGGCTGTGATACTATTGTGGACAATAGCTCGGAGATCCAGCCGGCACCCATCACTATCCAGAGCTTTCCAGTCAACACATACCTGAGGTTACACATAAGGCTTTCTTAACATCACATTTTATTTTAAGAATATTAATTCTATCCAAAACAATCGTTGCTTTTAAATAAGATCATCTAATTACTAACATTGCATAAGCATACCATTTCCGTGTAATCATCGCGTATTAATATTTATAATTTTGTTATAAGATACATACTTATATATTTTTTATGGGATAGGATGTATCACCTGATCGAAAAAATTCAACACCGCTCATGGAAACTCACGAATGCGTTGCCGACCTTTTGTTGGTTGTTGAAGAACTTTGGGATTTGAGTCGTTGGAAGGATGTTGGTTGAGTCTTAAATCAGAGTTTACGACATCTATAAATAGTTACTCTATCAGCAACCAGTCAGGCCTAAATCGATTGTCAATTTTATGTGACGGGACTTTTATGTTTTGCTTGTGACGACTTTTGTATACCTACCTACCGGGCCAACCCTAAGGAATTTATAGGTAGGTATATCTGTGTCATTACATGCGGGCAAGGTCAGAATATACCATACAACTAAAACTGACGAAAGTAGTGTCGAAGTCAAAAACATTTGTTCCAACTTAACCATTTACTGGTTTACTTTTCAAACATAAAAATAGAATAATAGTCCGTCGCTCTGAACTTCTGTAAAGCTAGGTTCTCGTTCCAAATTATAAATTCAAATGGAGAAGACGAACAAGAAACTCCATCATTACTCTTTATTAATACTTTTATACGATTATATGTTTTGCAATCATAACATATATATATATTTGCAATCATAACATAACATATTATTAAGATTACAATTATGTAAGATCCATGAAGAGCATAATGAGATGGGATAAATTCCTCAGTATAAATTTTAAATCCCTTATCGTCTCGAACATAGCACTCACATTCGCAAACTGACAGTTTGAAAGAATGCTAACTATAAAATTTTATTTAAAAAAATTTTTGATGACGTATATTAGAATTAAAACGTGTGGCGGAAAACACTAAACAGTAAGTTCGAGGTCATAACTTCAAATACTGACCATCAAATGTTTTTCAATTAAACCATTCAGGCCTGATATCATACGCCCAAAATGTTTCAATTAATCGTTTTTAAATTGAGACTGGAGCCATTAAATGCGTATAAAAACATTGTTTGTAGTTCGACACTCAATGAACTGCATGTAAAGTGCCCATTTATCACTTAGTAGATTATAATGGATTCCTTGTGTGTCATTGTCTTTTAAACAGAAGATAGGAACACTGTTACCGAGCTCTGATAAATAAAACAAAGATATTCAAAAAACCAAAGTACTACGTGAGATTAAAATAAAACAGAATAAAAAGGTTCTAACCTTCTTTCGGTACGTAACTTTTTCTGTGAAGAATAAATTATGTTTTGCGTAGAAAAATTTGTGCTAATTAATAAAACAAATTATGCTATTGTCATTTTGGCATCCATGAAACGAAAAAAACAATCAAATGGCATGAAACAGACAAACATAGAAACATATGTTTTTTCTTTCAAATTATTTATTTCTGTTTCCTTATCATCCTATTAAATATATAAAATATACAGAAACATCTTTTTACTGTTATATTATATGTAATTATAGATTCAATGAATCCTATTTTACTTGTTACAAATATAAATCCATTCAACTCATTCCTTACAAAAATACGGTAGTCAACATCGATCAATAAAAAAACATTAATAAAAAACACAATGTTACAAGCCATTAATGCCAATGATATGCAAAAATACTGTTACATTGCAGTTAGCAATTGAACTGTAATTAAAATTAACGTCTGTTCGAAATAGTGCCAGTACTTCCCCGAAGAAGTTAAAATGTCCAAGTATGTTTAGCAGCATTTTAAAAAACATTTCAACACAAAAAGAAAAGTATAAATCAATTTATAACTATTTCTCAATTACTGTATTAAGCTTAAAAAGATCGAAGAATATAAATGTTTATGGTCATTTCAACTTAACAAATTAAAAAGGGGCTTGGGTAACAAACCTTACAAACGTTACGTTAAGTAACAATCAAACAAGATACTTACACAATAAAAGTAGTAATTACGAAGGCCTACCTACTTAATTTTTAATGAAATATAGATCAATTCGGAAATTGTGCGTTCATTTATTACCTACCTAATGTCTACATAATTAAATGATATTGTCTGTCTCCAATAAAAACCATTAACTGTTTCTATCGTTGTTTTTTTAAGGATTTACCTGTTCATTGGAAAATCCAAATAAACCTACACCAGTAATTGTCAAAAGGTAAAAATTGTGTAATTGTCAGTTACTAGTCAGGACTAAATAAATTCTGAAGATTACATAAAAGTAATCATTTTAGACAAATTCTATTTCTAAATGTCCCTAATAGGAATGATATTAATTGTTCACACTAGATTACCAATTATTCAAGTAAAGGTACCCCTGTATGACGTACAAAGTATAAAAAATATGAAACAATATTGTTCTTATTGAAAGCTTTATTAAGAACTGGTTGGCGGGCCGCCGCTCCGCCACGTTAATTAATTGCCCACCTACATATACGCATAACTATAACAGAAATGACACGGCCGAATCATATAGATAATAGTTAATGAAATTATTGCGTAGGCCCGTAGCATATTATTAGTATAAGGGGAGTTCAAAAAAGAGTAGGTATACAAATAGGAAAGTTTCAATCAAATGTGAAAAAGATCGACACAAATGCAAGTAAATATTTCATAATTATTTATTTAGATTATGATTATTACAACAGTTCATATCTTGCAATATTGATTTAACAAGGGACATATTTATTTAAGACATATTTCTCAAGAATTTACTTAACACGTGCTAAGTAAAACAATCAATATTTACGATGTAATAAAAATCTTGATAATGATACACTGCTTTTTTGAACACCCTTTGTGGTACCTATTTTATATTACATCGTAATATACGTATGTACATAGTACTGAAACGGTATTAGACCACGTAACGATATTTGCCAAAAATCCAATTATAGATGTAATTAATGCTACAAACAACCATCCAGTATTACCACAAAATGAATGTTATGTACCATAAAATATTGTTTCACTTGTAACTAAGTTTTACTACAGAGCCCGAGCGTACGGCGCCTAGCGTTCCACGCGCGTCTAAAAGAGGCAACATACCAACCACAGATGGGGCTCCATAAGGCTGATGTTCAGATTGGATTCCGGGAGCAAGCAGCTGGAGCTGGAGCAAGAGAAGCTCTTACCCTACCCAAGGCTAGAGAAGCCATTTGATGTCTTTTCCCCACAGCAAAATGTCGGTAATTTGTTTCTCGTATAATACTGGTTGCCATTTCAATAACGGACTAGTCTTTTTCAAAACTCGGTGTTCAGGACTTCGAATTGTTTTAACATTTCCACAGAGGGAACCCGGATCTTCTGTATCGCATATTGCAGTTTTATAAATGGTCTATCTCCAGTCAACTAAAGAGTCCAATACAGGTTAAGTTCCGTATTAAACCAATAATTATAATTATATGAAGAAGACCTCGTCACAGCCTTGTTACAAAGCATTTCTAGTTCACTATGTCCCCAGAGACTTAATTAAAATACACCAAGCTTATAGCAAACATAATTATTAAAATGATGTTAGTAAAGGCCAGGTCAGATTAATAGGGTGTATAAATAGAATTACAATGCAAAAGGTTAAAATAATAATTAAAGTTTAGGAAAATGTTGCAATGACAAGTGTTGGAATGCCAAGCTTGGGCACGAATGGATCGGCTTGACCGGAGTAATAAGATGGCCTCATAGAAAACCGGCGTGAAACAACCACAGCGTTGAATTTCTCCGAAGGAGGTTACCGGAAGCCCAATCCCTCCCCGTCACCTATCCTTTCCCGATCCTTAAATATTCACGACCCTTATCCCCAAAAGGCCGGCAACGCACTCAGAACTCCTTTGGTGTTGAGGGTGTCCATGGGCGGCGCCGATTACTTACCATAAGGTAATCTGTCTGCTGGTTTGCCGACTTATCCCATAAGTCGAAATAAATAAAAATGATACCGAAAGAGTAAATGTAGCATCTACAACACTTCCTGATTTCGACATACCAGTTGCATCAATACGTAATTTTAGCCTAGCACAGGTGGAAACAATAGAAGAACAATAGGTGCGAGCGCCGGCGTTCTCTTGGGGTTTGATGAATTAAACTGGTAACAATTAATCATCGGAATGAACTACGAAGGTAGGTGTAATTGGCATTTAGTACAGATATCATTGGGTAAACATCCCAAAATCTACACCTTCTAAATTCGTTTATGCTGAGAAAGATTTGATCTAAAGAAATGTCATCATATTGAACCATAAAAAATGGTCTAAAAAGAACATATCATAACTCAATATAAATGTACAGCTGTTAATAGTTCTTCGTGAAGTCAAACAATTCTGCATCGACCGTTGACATTAAAATTTAATCACAATTAAACGCATTACATCCTCATTATGTTAAACGCAATGTAATTCTAAATTTAAATACTAACTACATAAAGTTTATAATCTGCGGAAGTGTCAACTTATTTATATAAAAGTAGAGAAACGTTTAACCGATAGAATTGTTAACAAAAATAAATGTTAAAATTATTCGCAAATGATCTCAACTCTCACGCTCCGTGGGTTGTGACAAATGGCGTAAATGCTTCAGTCCAAGCCAATACAAACCTTGAGGTAGGATAAATAAAGAACACTAGTTCATTCATAAAGTGCAACAACTTTTTTGGTGGTGAATTATTCTGGCTAGTTGACGAATTCACATGACATGATATTAATAAGCTCCTATTTTGCGCTTACCGGCTTGCGCTTAACTCCGGTCGGTATTGAAATCCCCTTACACCCCCTAAAGGATCTTTACTCGAACATTCACCCCTTCAATTCCCTTCACGACCAAAACCAAACAAAAAATGCGCTTTTAAATTAACAAACACTAATTAAGTTTACGTGGATTCTAAATTAATAAAGACAGACGATAGACGATTAAATATTTGCATTCGAGAACCCATTAGTGGAGTCAGATTATTTCGTATATCTGCGTGCCTTTTAAAGGTGAAGTGACAAACTAAATGTGATAATTATTTGCAAAATAATATTGGGTTTGTTGAAAAAACCCAGCGTACTTACCGTTTGCTAACGGTAACCGAACAAAACACGGCTAAACGCGAACTGGATAAAAACGGTCAGCGTTTTGCGGTAAAATTTGTAAATAAACTTACTAAACTTTTGAAACAAACAAAATGTGAAATACAACGGGATCGATTATATTAGGTAGAATAAAGCAAATATTCAATATTTTCGTAAAAATATCAGTTTTTTTAAATTGCTTTACGCTAGAGTTTTCCCCTATATCTCGTGTACATTTATATACTTGAAAATTTCACAGGTATGTAAATCAATTTGTGGATCATAAAGCCATGCGCCAATGTCGAACCCGCGACAGATTACACCGCACCAAGTTACCTAATCACTGCGCCAACCGTGCAGTAACGTACGGAACCGCAGGGTCTAAAATGTAGTCCGATGCATTGCATCATAATCACCTTATGACTTAGGTCAAAGTCAAAGTCAAAGTCAAAATCATTTATTTCAATTAGGCCACATTGGGCACTTGAACGTCAAGCAAAAAAAAAGAAAAAGAAAATATATTTCAAAAGGTTTAACTTTATGCGTGTCAGTTCCAAAGTGTAGATTTCTATGGAGAAGAACGAGCAAGAAACTCCATGGTTACTTTTTTCAATCAGTTTCATTAGGACTTACAATATGACTGATGAAATTTGACGTTTTATATTTAATATCCTCGTCTAGGTTACTTAAGGCCTAATCATTCCCATCTCTAATCAATCCCTAAATCCTCAAAACCCCTTATCTCCAAAAGGCTGGCAACGCACTTGCAAATCCTCTGGTGTTGCTCACCATCAGATAATCCGCCTGTTCGTTTGCTGTCATACCTATCACATAAAAATAAATATGTTTCGAGTATTTAACGACTTTAAAGTACTTACTTTGCTCTGTCGACTCGGAACCGTCTCTTGACGCGGTCACCCATGGAGCCGGCTTGGAGGCGATGAACCTCGGACTTGACCCTCGCGCAGTGTCGAGCGGTCAGCACCCACAGCACGAAATTAACGCAAGTCACCAAACCCATGGGGATCACGAAGTATATATAATGCGGCCAGTCATTTCGCGCGTTCTGATCTGTAACCATAGACACATGAACATGGAGATAGAGAACTTTTTGCCTAGTCTAAAAACTAAATGATAATGGCCAGAGCAATGCCAAACAATTGATAAAAATTCTATACGAACAAATAATTATGCAAAAGAAATTAAATATGGAATTGTAGCATTCGTTATTTACAATATACAATTCAAACTTTACCAACATCAAACTGTCTTCTTCTATAGGGAAAAAGCAAATAACTCCTACCCCGTTACCAATTTTGGAGGCTGTTTATTAAGATAAATAATAATTCTCAATGCATCTATACGAACATTACAAGCTAACATAAAAACCATTATTACTTTTAAATCTACACATCTACAGCCTAGTGATTACTCAGATGTCATTCTGGATTTGTACAACATACACTCATTTGATTCGTCCCAACAGCTTCTTTTAAATGGGGAATTGTTTCAATGATAAGTATCTTAGATTCTTGTTGATAATTGCTTGAAGATTTGCAATGATCGTAGCCAGGCAAGCCACATGTCAAATCGAATCTAGATATATGATAAAGAGCATTTGAAGTGCACTACAAAAAAGCTAAAGCTATTCACAAATGGTTTGCTTATTTATTGATTGTCGGACCACGCAAATTACGTCATAGGAACGTGACGAGAATGATTTGAATTTTTTCGGAACAATGTGTTTGATTATTTTCAACCACAAACCCATGTGGTTATACAAGATATTTATAATTTTAATTAAATATGTATTAATTTTTATCTATGTACGTTACGTACGTAGAGTCTAGATAGAATAACAAGCGACAAATGACGATAAAAAAGTCTTGGACCTGGGAATCCAGGTCAGGCAACGTTTTATTACATACAAAGTTCTTGAAACTGTTCCCGATGTATGTAATATGTGTGTACGAGTATATCATAAACTCGCTCTTTATAACTCTCTATATATTATATTTAAGCATAATATGGCTGACGGAGGGTGTTTTATTATTACTAGGTAGTTACGTGAACTTCTGTCAATCACTCAGAAAATATGATACTTTGTATGCAATTGTTAGTTTTATCATAAATGTAGGTTTCTGAACCAAACTCAAAATGTCTGAAGATGAAGACTGCGCAGGAAACATTGACATATTTTAACAACCTAATAATAATTGAATTACGAAACGAATTCTGAAAAATGAGTTGGAAATTCCCGTGAACGATTTCAGCTGCAGTTGAATACATAAACAAAAAATCTCCGGTTTTTTCAGAACGAACACACTTATAGATAACTTTGTAACAATTCAAGGTTTGTTCAGATTTTTAAATATAGGGAAACTAGCGACCCGCCTGGTCCCCACAGGTGCACATTGCTGATACTAAATTCCTCGATTATTTTCTTACGTCTTATTTTTTGAAAACGTTGCCCCGCATTAGGATTTTCTCCTGTGTCGTGGGTGCTGTTACAAACATACAATTTCACATACACAAGACAACCAGACCCGGAACAACAATTAGTGGATCACACAAAGAGTTGTTTAGTGCGGGAATCGAACCCGCGACACTTTGCACGGCAGCCAGTTGCCCAGCCACCGCACCAACCGCCCAGTCACGCACTAACCGTGCAGCCATTATTAAATGGGTATAATTACGCATATTATAAATCTTCCTCTTCAATCACTCAATCTATTAAAAAACTACATCTAAATCCGTTGCGTAGTTTTAAAGATAAAAAATCCGTTGCATAGGGATATAGGGACAGAGAAAGCAACTTTGTTTTATACTATGTAAATGTATGATATGTATCTCATATATTTCATACAGATTATTGATATTTTTATACAGATGTTTCATTTTAATGTTTGACCACACTCCTAATCTATCTGTATCGTCCTATCCCGGATTTAAAGATAGGGTTTCGCGTGCAAGCGCATTAATATACCAAGGCCCGGAGAAGGAGAAGTGAAATAATACTTTTGAACCTATTTTTATGAATACCTCATGTATATATAGTATATTGGATTATTATCTTTTGAACTTGTTCGAAGTCTTATTATAAGTTTTAATTCTTTAAGAAAATCCGCATAAAAACAGCATGATACATATAAAGAAAGTTTTCTTCAAAAATCCGTCCCGTAATTTAGGAACCATCTCAATATAAACAAATAAACAATAAAATCTTTCGAATTATCATTAGTAATATTAGTACAGACAATAACAATTAGTAAACATTAACGAAGACTAGAGAAATAATCTCTGACGTATCGTTTCCCGACTAAGGATATCGTAGACAATGACTCAACACCTACTTACCTACACAAATATATATGTATGTACACGTCTTTCGTCAATTAGACGGATACGTGTACCAATTATGACGAGACTGGTCGTAAGTCGTCTAGCCGACCCAATTTCTAAGCGTACAAATATTTGAGCTAAATACAATCCCTTATACTTAGTAGATATGTAGAATTATTCGAGGAAAGACATTTCTGGTGTATGTTTTCTCTTATACTTTTAAGTGAATTTGAAGAAATTACGTAAGTAATTCCAGTTCCATGATAAAATATGCTATTGAACAACTTACACCAAAATTCAAGTCCTCTCCTTAATTTTTTTTTCTTAAACAATACTCTCCATGCATTGTGTAATTTGCGCCTAATGTTTTTTAAATAAGTAAGTACCCTATTATACTTAAATTGAGTAGTCATAACTTATACCAATTTCACAGAAAAATAACAATTTTAATCATAACTTGCAATAAAAAGCTAACAGTGAAACAAAGGAACACAAATTATAATGAAATGGCTACCTAACGAAATTTCAATTACTTAAAACTTTAAACGTCTAGTATTCACTATTTAATTTGAAGTATATTGTGGCTACTAACATTAAACAAATTAACTACACCAGACATTTTTCACAATAAAAGGAATTTAATAAAAGCTTTGTTGTCCATTAAAACTTCGTTAATCATAAATCACTAGAACTATAATGTGTCTGTGCTGGTGAACCCCGCCTGTAAATTACGTGGTAGATACCTACATCAATTTCTTTCCATATTAATATTCCTGGAAATCAGGAACATATATTGTTACTTTTTAGGGAACTTATGTATAGTGTAAAGTTCCATTAGATAGGTTGTTTTGTGGATAATAAATCATCAAGTCTCGCCCTGCTCGGGATGAAAGGCAATTACTCTTAGGTACTAAGTAAAAACGGTTGGTTTGCCTGTTCCTTCTACTGCTCCAGGCTGGAATTCAATGTTTTGGTTGTTAGTGAAATTCCTCTAAATAGGATTTTCTATTTCTATTCATATCTGTCATAGTTTACACGTAAGTTAGAAAACCATTTACAGAGGACTTTCCACTTTCTTTCTTAAGGAAAATGTTTGCTTTTTCATCATCACCTTTTTAACTTTTATTAACTGACATTTTGCTTGCACTTTTTTTCGTACCATCATGCACTGACGTCTTTGAAAGCATAACCCGGAGATGTAGAAATGAAATACGTACTCGTAAAACAATAATTTCATGAGAATTTTCATAAAACTAGAAATTTTAGTCGTAACACTGACAACAACAATCGCATCCTTCCTGATAATGAGTTAAACAATGCATGAAAAATAAAATTTTCATATAGACATCAAGGTGATGAATGAATAAAAAAACGCATTTCGTACAATCTGTGCATTTTGAAGAAAATATGACGTTATTGGTCTGTTTATTAATTTTATTATACGCAGAACTGAACCGACAGTTTACTTTAAAAGCGCGGGCGTTTACTGAAACTGTACATACATTACCAACGAAACGTTCTTATGAAAGAAATGTTCATAATATTTTGTACTTAAATATTCCACGTGAGTCACGCGGGGCCACCTCACACGGTCTGCAGAACGTGATTAACAATATTATTGTAAAACTTTACATTAAATTATTTCTCAGCCAACTATAACTTTTGGCACATAAAAATAAATTTCGCACCCACAAATCTTTATTTAAGCCTTTGTAAATATTAAACAAACGTTGAATATTGCTCGGAAAATATGTATCCACGTGCGTAGATACTATAATATTTATACTGTACTTACTATAGGTACCTAATGTTACAATTGTACTTTATTGAAGATCTTAGATATTTTTATTTATCATGATTACGTAAAAAGTAACAAATAAAATATAAATTGGGATTACGGAAAACCAGTGTAAGCTGACTAGAAGTAATTTGGAAACGACTCTATATTACAAGAAATGTGGTACGTCGATGGAAAGTACAAGCTTTTGGTTACGTACGGCCAGTCCCACGTAAAACTAACTACAAAGGTAGGTGTATCTATATTTTAAAATACGTCATTACAAGTCTAACAGACAGGTGGGCCGGCTCATCTGCCGGTTTACATTTCCTTCAAGCTTTAACTGTCCCAATATTGTAAGTTCCCAGTTTAAGCGACCAATAACCCGCAGCTACACAAAATTATTGGGTGACCTAAAAATAGTCTGATTAATAAATACAAACAAATGTATTCCGCCCAGTTTTCGCTACCATAGAAACGGCACATTTTTCTGAATAAAAGCTGTCATAATTTTCCGGTTCATAAACTATTCTGGCACGGAGATCGTGGAGATTCGTTAATAAACAAACATTTATTTTAGAGAAGGTTTACTTACAAGTTCCGAACCAGCACAGTCCTTGCCCCATGTTGGCGTCCAGGTAGTCAGACACCGGGTACTTGTCCAAGATGAACATGACGAGAGTGAGGAGGATGGCAGTACTCCACGCGTACAAGGAGTACCAGAGGAATCGACGCAACTCCGTGTTGGCTTTACGCATCGGCTGAACAGACCGGACACTCCTGATAAACAAATTAAAATACAAACAAAAATTAATCGGATGACTAAGGAACAAAAGATGTAGGTTATATGATGTTTCGGTAATTGATCAGTGAACCCCGTAACATCGATATCGGCCTTTTAATAAGGAGTAAGCGCATTTTTGAAGGTTGAGGTTCACTTAAAGATCTAAATGATAACCACCTTTTCTTTTTTAGCAAATTCTAACAGTTTTTTTTAGTTGTCAAGCCTTTGCCAACCGATAGAAAACTATTGAGAGGAAATCCTCCGCTACCGTAGGTCACCGGTGATCTACGTGGCGGTTAACGTTTATCAGAAATTTTAATTATTTTTCATCATGTAACACTTAAGTGTTTTTTGATTCACGGCAAAGTTCATATTAGTTTTACGCAACAAAATCCATTAATTGATTTCAACGAAAAATAATAATTCAACACGTTCTTAACACATTAAATAGATTTACAAATATACCTACAGTTTTTCGTAACATCTTGGAAATCCTCGAAACGACATAATGTACATCCATTACGGAGAAGTCTGCTCGAATATGTAAGTAAGTACTAGTTATCTCTATGAACTTGAACTTCAATATACTAAACGGGCACAACATTATCGTTAACGAAAAATTTAAATAAAACATAGCTGTAATTCCGCGAAAGGAGAGGCAGAGAACTAGTTACCTAAAAAAACCCACTTTGCATAATAAAAAGGAATGAAAATATCTTCATAGGTTCAAAATACATGTTATTACTGGAAATATCATTTTAATCGAACCACACTTACGACTCAAAATGCACAACGCACATACCTATCAAATTATGTTCATATCAGTAAGTATAAACAAAAAGTTAGTTGATAAAATAATAATGTTCTACCATTACTTTTATAGCTATTACGGCAAACATAGTAGTCGTAATAGAACGTGACGTTAGCTAATAACACGTACCTATGGGGTCTTTATTGGTTTTTACTGCTCCCATTAAGTCGGCTGGGTCATGGGGATTGACTAGCTAATCACGAAGCCAAAGTACTGTGACAAAATATACGATAAGCAGCTTCAGATAAATATTAAGGCAGAGATAACTAAAGCTTCGAACATAATAACTTCATTATGGCGTACAGATACAAAATATGGATGTATGTCGGTTATCCTAACCGTGTAATCATGTACACTTCTACTGAATTGGGAAATTGTAAACATTGCTGGAAGCGTGTAACATTTACCACACGGATGCTTTATTAATGTTATCTCGCCTTAGCATATTTTAAATAAAATATTGCTAAGTGTACCTATCTACCGCGATTTATAGACAGATCTGTTACTAAATCATTCTGTTTTGTTGTCATAAAGTAACTTTTGCAGTCTATAAACAGCACTTTTACACGTCATAATTATTATATATGAAGAACTAGACAAATCCAAAAGAAAAATGTTATATAACAAGGTTCATGAACCTATGTTAATTTGTTGACTAAAAATAGTCACCAGGACCGGTCTTATTATATATAGTTAGTTATTAATTTTCTATGCAACACCGGGGGCCATCATGGTGAGGGCGCCAAAATTAACCAAAACGTGAGACAAAGGTCGCCATTTTTATTTTTTCTTCTACCTAATACTGTTCATAGGATCAGAACAGAGCATGACGTGACTTATATAACATAAATTTTCGTAAGATTTTCCTGCAATTCATATCTAACTTTGCATCTTTAAGAAAATACGTCACGAGATTATTCAGTGTTGATTACGATAGTACGGCTCAATTATGATAATAATAAAAGGGCGACACGACCTCTCTGTATTCATTATTATTTATTACATAATTCCGGTGCTTGTACTTAGGTTAAATATATCTGTAAAGAAGTACTAACTTTCAACATTTGAGAGTGTCAGAGCTCATCACAACGCTTCTTTTTTATTTGGCACTACCTGGTTTGGCGAACTCCGTACTGCCTTACATTTTTTCAGACCTTTTTAACGTTCCTTGGACTTCCAACACTATTTTAGGACCAAAATTTAACAAATCGAACAGCAATCAGTCAAATCATCAAAGATGACGTCAACAATGTCTATTGATAATGGTTGCAACAATAGACTCATGCCATAACTGATAAATATTATTAACTACATCTCCGTTTACCCTTTCAAGGAAAATAGGTAAGGAAGAAGTATCTACTTCGTGTGTGTTTTTTTGTAATTCATGTCATTTGGTTGGTCTGGTCGATAACGCGTTAATTAGTGCCCTACCCATGGTGGGCGCACATAAAGTGAAAGTGCGTTTTTCTATCCTGTCGGTTTTCATTAACATTGTACTAATCGTAACCTCCACGCTTGACCTTTTCAATCTCACATTAGAAACTATCAAATTAAGCTTTAACATTGCCTATCTAGTGATAAACACTAATTAGTTGACATTCGCAAAAATAAACGTGACTGACACTAATGTCTTCTGTCGCGAAACACAATTTCATGTAATTTGCTAATCATTTCGACAAATACTTGTGTAGATGTGTTTGTAACAGTTTTTTCCGTTATTTCAATGTGTTAAATGTTATCATCGGGCCCATTTTATAAACATGATTCTACACGCTTCCAACATACCGTGTATATTTATTTCAGCTAAAATTACTGTATTGTTTCACTCCAATATGCAAATTGATATATTTTTCATTCCCGATTGCGTATGTTTATTGACCTTTCAAAATAATCTAATAATGGCCTCAAAATCAGCTCTGATTAAATTGATGTTTTATTGATTTGGAGTCTCTTATATAAATCATGATTAGCAGTAGGTAGCCAAAGTACTACCTACATCAAATTATCAATAAAGCGTTCATAAATCAGCCACACTGACACATAACAAACCGTCAGATAAATATTAATTTACAACGAACGCAAACTGCAATATCTGCTGAAAACGTCATTTCATTTCTTATTATCTTAATAATCTTGAAATACTGTTATTCCTAGGTAATTGTTATCCAAGTATTAAACACGTATTCACTTTCGTATATACACCATATTATAATACGAAACTACATTTACTATCAACGTATAAAAACAATATACTGAACAATAGACACTACAAAAAATTCGGAAACAATTTTTTGCCCTAGCTCAAATGTACCTACTCAGTAATACTGGGAAAACGTTACAAAAAAACTGGTTTCTGTTAACTAGTCAATCCCGGAACTCTGAATAATTTCTAATCTTGTGCCTGAGTTTTGAGTGCCTGGAGAGTGCGTGGGATATTAGGGTGGCTGATGGTGATATCATACAACTAAAATGTATACTTATGTATACCTAGATAGGTATATTTCCATGTCATTATCATCCCACTCACTATCGGTAACTACACTCAGACACATTGACCAAAACAGAATTATTTAGTTAAACACGACCACGTCACGGATTTTCTAGGATTCGACGATTGGTGATCAAATAATGGAAAACAATACATGAATGACTCCACAGCGTCGGTAGGTACTTTTGATTTCCCTATTGCTATGTTATCTAATTACGTAATCTTTTGTTATGTTTAGATTTATTTTATGATTAATCCGTAAAAAAGCAAATTGACGTAAAAAGGCAATTTAGCCGAAGGTGGTCACTAGTACTAAAGCCAAGCTAAGCTGCACTTCGAGATTAGTGCTTCGAATAAACATAAATTAGTAGTTTCATTAAGTGTGATTCACTCATGTTCCGCATCCTTTCGTGATAATACATGTTTTATCTCGTTTATAATCCACATCCTGATATCTCATTACGTAAAATGTTCTGCTTATCACCTAAAATGTTACTGATATGTACCAAATAAAACAAAAATTATTTGATATTATTATACATACATAGTTAAAGTTCCATTAGATCATTGGTGTATTTGGTAATTTTGTATATTTATTCTAAACGTCTCAACGTGGCCCCGGGGATTCTTGCCATGTGCAAATATCGAAGAGCCGGTGTGTAAACTCATCGATAACTAAGACCAAACAAACATTTACTCACATTGCGACAAACGACAGCGGGCAACACTCGTAGGATTTATTTCATAAAAGGTGCCATTAAAAAGCTAACAAATCATTTCGTTCGTTAACAAAAAAGTTTATCAAATATAAACTAAAATTATGAAATATCTGCTAACGATTGTATATTTATAATGTCTTAACTTACAAGAAGTTATTGTTAGTAGTCATCTTATGGCAACGTTCGTTATTCCTAGTGAAACCGCGGCGTGTAAAGATATCAACATTACGCATTCGTAAAATAGTTTGAGCTACTAGCTTACGGATTGAGTGGTTATCACGACTCAATATTTCTTGAAATCGTATTTTTAGAACATGGTAATTCACGAATGAATTATCCGAGTATCAGTATTTCAACTGTAAACAATTTCATTCATCAAACTAAAAAAAAATAAGAAGCTGTCAATCTTACAGAATACGAGCTTTCAGCGCATGAAATAAAGTTGTACAGTAGGTACAAAACGACAACAGATCTTTAGTTTAATACATTTCAGTGTACAGTGCACCGCGGTGTTTGGCGCATTACTCGGTCGAATATTTTCTTAAAACGTTAAAATATAAACAAACTCGCTATCTGAGCCCGAGATGTGTACTCAATCTGAAATTAGAAGTTTACAATTTTTGATCGCAGGAAATTGAAAGAATATTTGTTTAACGTTTACAATGGTAACATCACTCCAGATGCATATGATCATTCCTTACGAGCGATGATGACGGCGCACAGGACCAATTGTATGTGCAATAAGGACGAATACGTGGTAGATGTGCATAACATAACAGTCATGCCAAGAGGGGCGATGAGACAGATTATGTATGAATCTTCAATTCACACGTCATTTGCATTGTAGCCAAAAACATAAAGACTAAATGTTTGTGTTGACTCTTAACAAAACTTACCCAAATGTCCACCAGATGTCGAAGCACATGACGTTGAGCCAGGCGAACGCGGCCACGAAGCCGAAGTAGATCCCGTACCCTGCGCAAACAATGAGCAATCGTGTAATGGATCAATTCAGATTTACTTTGATTCTCAAATTATCTCACTTGCGTACATTACGATAACATTCATTATTCACGATCATGGCCTAGCTGTCAGCGCTGGCAGAACTACATCTATGTTGGAACCGTGAATCATTTTGATAGTAAGTAGTTAATACAATCGAAACATGAGAAAGTACTCGCAAAACACTGATTTATTGAAAACTAATTACGAGCAAAGACAACTTATTATTTGCAAATTCTTTGTTGTTAACATTTATACGTTACGTATGAATAGGTACTCCATAAACTGAAAGTATGTACTTAATTATAATTTATGGTTAGTGTATCATAAACAGACTCTTTGCTCCAACTCCAACAACACCTACTAAATGCTTTCGCAATTAGGTATGTAATAGTTTACACAATCTATACATTCTTCGCACGAAATCCAAAACTGGACTGATAATAAGTAGGATGAGTTAAATAACTGTCTGACTGGTTCCAAAAACAGTCGCTGATTTGACTTGGAATAAAAATTTATTTTTTGTCAAAGTATTAAAAATTTATTCGATCCGTTACGATAATTTCTTGAAATACGAACAACTATATTACAATGGTCATTATATTATTATATGGTAGAGCTTTTAGTAGATAGTCTTAAATGGACCCTTTGTTGACCCATATTAAGGGCCCTTCTTTTCTAAGGCCCTATTTCACAACATTTGGAAAGCCACTATGTAGCAGATAAATATGTATTTAGAACTAAATTCGTATGAACTCATATGTGTACTAACATTTATCGAGTATAAATATAATCAAAAAGGGTTAACCTTATATAAAATGACAACACATTAATTTATCGTTGAGTAATTTTAATATGATGTTGGTAATGTTTCTTTAGTTAACAAGAAATTTGGTAATTTCCTCAGACCAAAAACGTATTCTCACCCTTATTTATTAATTTTCGAAATACTTATTATATGGGTGTTGCATTAATGATTCCAGCGCGTTGGCTTAAAAAATTATGGCGTTCACAACGTGCTATTTTCACGCGTACAGATTTTATAGAAAATTTGTGATTTTATAGAAAATTTGTGATGTTGACATTTCGGAAAGGTGTTGAATTTGACTAGTTGGAATCTATCTTTTTTTTTCCAGGGATGAAAAGTGCGAACAATTGACTATTTATTAATAAAGTTACGACATTTCGTATCGTATTTAGACCGCCACTTTTAAGAACAAATTCCGAATCAAATTCAGTGAATCATTATGACAGCTCGAGATTACGATATTTTCAAATAGGTATTATAAAAACAAGGCAATATCGTTAGCAACTAACACTAAGCAAGTAAAGCTGAAGCTAATACAAGACATTTTGCAGAACTTGTTAGAATCTAGTGAAATTTCGGGTGAGCAGTTTTAGGGTACTTAAATAAAAATTTTCTATTGTGTGGAAAAGTATTCGAAACGTAAGTTGAACAATGTAAAATGTTTGTCTAATAAGAGAATCAATGCATATTGTTAAGGTTTTTTTATATTTTGGCAAACGAGCAGCAGTTTCGCCGACGGTAAGTAGAGGTGTACACGGGCTTTTTAGGGCTGTTAGGGATATAAGGATTGGAGATTCGGGGTTAGAGACAAAAGGAAGTATACGGCAGATAACCTCAAACTCACTGCGAAACACAACGCAATAAATAAAAATAAAAGAAAGAAAAAATCATCCCATGTCGTTGGTACGTTTCTCAAACCTAAAAAATAACATGACAACAGATGGAACAACACTTAGTGGATCACGTTTTAGTTGTTTTATGATGGTATAAGTCTGCAAACGAGCAGACGGATTACCTAATGGTGGGCAATCGGTGCCGCAACACCAAAGGAGTTACGAGTGCATTGCCGGCCTTTTGGGGATGGGGGTTGCTGATATAAGGATCGGGAAGGGACAGGGGAAGGTGAGGGATTGGGCCTCCGGTAACTACCCTAACACGGCGAAACACAACGCTGTGGGTTTCACGCCGGTATTTTGTGTGGCCGTGGTATCACTCCGGTCGAGCCGACCCATTCGTGCCGAAGCTTGGCTCTCCCACACTTTCCAGTCTTACCGAACTCGGGACACATTATACAGCATCCTCAAAAATTATGCACTCGACATCGATATTTTAACGGTCCTCAATATTATGTGCGTAATGGATGTACCTACTTGTATCCAACGGTTATATTAACATTATCAGCATCCGCCAAACAATATCAGTTTTACGTCAGCATACATGTAATGACATTGATTTTATGGTGTCATGTTGAAAGAATTATCTGGTAGTTTTATATTGTTTAGTACATATTATGAACTTAATTTATTATTTAAGATACATCATAATTAAATTTATTGGAAATAATGACTTATTCACATTAAATAACTGAGAAAAGCTCTACTAGTTTCGAAGTCACAGCGGGACTCTTATTCATGAACAGCGTGCGCGTCGCGGCGATGTCGCGCAGCCAACACGACGAGATATAGATCATCGTTAGTCTATCGATAGAGATATCGATTTAAGTGTGGAATGACACGAATGGGTTGGCTCGAGCGAATAGATACCATGACTGCATAGAAAACCGGCGTGAAACAATCACAGCGTTGAGTTTCCCCGCTTGAGTAAGGTAACCGGAGACCTAATCTTCACCTATCCCCATACTACCTTTATTTCCAAATCTCAAAAAACAAAAAAAAATATCCCCAAAAGGCCCGCAACGCACTGTTAACTATCCTAATGTTGCGGGCGTACATAAGCAGCGCTGATTGCTTACCATCAGATAATCCTGTTGTACGTTTGCCATCCACATCTAAATAAAAACGACTGTACTAACAAACAGCATAACTCTGAGACGTCTGGACCGAGTTTGGTAATTATGGTCTTTAAATATTTGCGGAAGTTCATAGTACGTTCCTGACCTACATAAATTGCAAAAAAATAATGTAAAATGCACTTTTCTTTACCACACAAGCTGTACTACATTGATTTTCGACAAGGAACAAAACTGATATTATTAAAAATTTAACATATTAGTTCATTTTAAGTTGTCAATCAGTTCATCTAGTCAGCTAGTATGATATAAACATCAATAGAATCTCTAACCATAGATCCGGATTCACCATTTCTGTACGATAATATACTGCAATAAAAATCTATAGAGAAACTTTTCATATTACGTAGCGCCTTAAAATCCAGTTTTACGCTAATGAATATTGAAATAGAACAATCCGACAAAAAGTGCAGATTTATCAAATACTAATTGAGAATTATCAAATAATAAGCGTATTGTTTGTAAATCAACACTTATTAAAAATACAAAACGAAGACAATTTGCGTAGGTAATATTTGTGCAACGTACCAATCTGAATATTGTGATTCTCTTGTTGTGATTATTACATGTAGGTCTTTGCGGACCTTTTATGCAAAATGATCGGTTATTTATTTTTGAATAGTAACTATAGTGAGGCATACTATACATATTTATTGTGTGTGAATGAACTGTGAAAAGCTCTACTAGTTTCAAGTCACAACGGGACTTTATTCAAGAGCACCGTGACGCGCACGCGGCAACATCGCTAGTAGACCTTTTTCCAGATAGGTAATTCACGTAAGTGGTTATTTTTTAATAATTTTATCGTTTATTTATTGACAACACGCAAGTGCATTATGTTTGCATCGATATGTATTTAATAAGCGGCTTCAAAATATGATTTAGATAAGGTCACCACTTGTATTTTCAATTTTTATTGCATCCAATTGTTATCAAGTACTATTTAGATAAAATCAATTGAAAACAGACTGCTTGGATATTAATAATTCATCGCAACGTAATATCATTTATCAGTTTTCGTTTGTTAATTCCTTTTACCGCGTATTCATAAAATCATCCCACGCTTTACGAACTTACGAACGAAATGTCACATTTCGTTCGGAAGCGTGGGATGATTGAGGATCTTGAAAATAATCGTTTTCGAGTTTTTAACATATTATTCTGTAAGTATGTAGTTTGAACTTAACTAATCACTACGGAAATTTATTTGCACTTGCAATTAAAATATAAACAAAATTAGCTACTTAATTCATCTTGGGTTCTATATAGAAATAAGCCTCAAAATAACATATACCTAAGTATTTGGTTTACCTTTGTCAAGAAAAATATAATATAAACAAATTTAATTTAATCATTCATTAACACTAATAACGTACTGTCAATGACTCTTTGCGCTAGATTTATTATAGCTGTTTTGTGAAAGTTTAAACTAAGATAAGAATTATATTACGTTACGACTCTAACAATATTCTACATACTCAATCGAACCTGGCTAGTAACACGTAGTGGTTGGAGTCGGTCCCCTTTACCGGGACTTCAGATGGTCCGCAATTACCTAAATTGGGTCCCCTTCTATTCTTTATATCTATAAGGTCGTTTCATGTCGTCCACGCAGACCCAGTTGATGTTGCTAAATTTAGCAAGCTGCGTTTTAGCAAACTTCCGGTGCTTTTTTCGCTGCTAAATTCTCTCTCGTAATATAACGAGTCAATCTAATATTTAAGAAGAATAATTATGTCGACAACGATTTCTAATTAGGTATGGTCTGACAGCAATAGTAAACCTTACATACGTACTCTTGGTGCTACTACGAGTTCTTGTCTTCGTTGGCTTGTGAAAAAAAGCAAAAGGAGAAACCTACCAATAAGAGTGCAGGCCGTGTTGTCGGCTACTCGGCTGTACTGGGCTCTCGCGAGGCAGCAGAATGCGAGCAACATCATACTGACATGGCAGATGAGGGTACGTCCATGCAGGTTCCGAAGCTCCGGAATTGATATATACACCAACAGTGTCAGCGCCATACACACACTCGATATACAGATCAACTGCAACAATACAACATTTTTATTGGAAAATAACGCCTGTTTTCAAAATACGTTCCTAATTGTAACTGATCCTATTGAATTTTCCAAGACCCCTGCAAATTAGGCTTAGTTCCGCATTGTATAGTAACGTATTTAAAAACGTAATCGTACGTATTTAAAAATAAATATGACCTTTAAACAATGGAGGTTGTACCCCAGACTCCATCATGGTAACTCCAGTTGATGACCCATCAGGATTGATCGCATTGGTATTAAGTCTATTTACTTTTAAATATTGATCCAGTTGATCGCGATTATTTAACCCGTTGACATTGGGATATGTCGTAATTCGATCGTATTGACATAACATTAACGGATTACCAATCTGTTAAATCCTCAAATTACAATGTATATGTGAATATTCCGGAGGGTTATAATTGCCCGCTGTGCGGTGACGTCACGCGCTGTATTCTCACCTTCTTTGTTTATGTTTCGATATAATTATGATGGTTCCCTCATGGCCTGACTCCCGATATTAACCTAAACATGAAATACTCAGAAATTCGGAAAAATATTGGTCTAAAATTGAACGGCAAAAAATGAATTAAAAAATCTTTCAGCATCCGTTCTACTACTTTCTCCTGACCATTTGATACATATGTAGATGTTAGCTTCGTTAGAACATATTCAGATGCCTGAAATCCCTAGCGATTAGAATGTATCCATAAGTGATTGAATTTAAATTTATTTAACAGTTTAGCTGCATGGTGATGGGATGAATACGTTTGTCAACATTTCTACCCCTCCTCTAAGTTGTCAAGATTGGCCAGGCTGCTAGATACCCTTCGTCGCGACCCGCACTTACGGTAGCCAGAAATCGTCACGTGATCTCTAACTCATAATGTGTCTCCTACTGCTGTATCGGGACGCAAAAAGGAGAGTTTCCTAACGCACTTTAGCCCCAACCTTTCCGCTTCACAGTTTCTTTCGCTCCGCACCATAAGCCATAGCCTTGACTAAAACCAGATATCACTTCCCTGTGGACACGGCGGTGCCCAGCCCAAGTAGAGCAAACTGCCTGCGTATGCTCCATCGTGTCCACCGGATTAGTCGTGAAAGAAGTCTAAGAGCTTTCTTTTCTTTGATAAACCTGATCCTTTTAAACTACGGTTTCCAACCCACTAATTAAGGGTGTACATTATGGCGGAGGCCTCTCTTGTAGAGGAAGCAATTAGTGGATTGCCGCGACGTTGAAGTTGGTCAATATGATGTTTCCATTCTATTTTCAAATAGATAATAATAACGATTTGTAAAGTAATTTCGAAGAATCTGCAAAACTCTCAGTTCTGACGGCTTGTTTATAGCACACGAATCAATTCATCTGATCCGTATGATCTATTGACTAGCCGACCAATCTAAACACACTTTAAATTTGTAACGCATTCACAAAAACATTTATTTCCGTCGTATAATGTTAACACTCTATAATCTTTCATCAATAATTTCTTTGAAGATGTAAGAGTCAAATAATCGACGTAATAGAGACGATGACAGCTTGGAAACATTTATTTAGTTCATCAGATCATGAGTTCTATAATGAAAAAATATTGCACTCGGGTTTTATCAACACATCCAATATATGTATAAGCTCATATTTAAGCCATTGCAAACAATCTTAAATATCTATGCATAACACGAGATCTATTCAGCTATATATAATAATATATTATCTATAGATATTATATATCTTAACTAACATTTATATAATAGCTAAGTATATACTTACGATGAAAGATACTTGAAAGTTCTTCACTACTTCGGGAGCCTTTATGAAGCAGTTGACGGCAGTGATGAAAACGCTACCGCCAGGACAGAAGCGATTATCAAAGGCTTCAAAACAGTAGCCGTCGCCCACGCTGATTGGTGAGATGAGACGACCATCAGGTGTCAGCCGATGTCGGTCCCGTTCCAAGGACTTGTTCAACACCACTCGACCATTGCAATGCAAATCGAACCTCAGCCCCATTACATCTAAAACGAATTTCCAAAATTAGTAGCTATACTATAGTAGACATTATATGGTATATATCCTATCATACCTAGACATACTCGGCAAGCCTAAAATTATAAAATCCCTCTAATTGGAAGATTTAGATTTAGATTACTTCAGCATAAATGGGTCGGCCTGACCGGAGTGATACCACGGCCTCGCAGAAAATCGGCGTGAAACAACTACAGCGTTGTATGTCGCGCTTGTACATTCGTAATTACTTTGGTGTTGCGGGTATCCAGAGCGGTGCTGATTGCTTACCATCAAGTAATCCGCATATCTCATAAAAAAACTATATTGGAGAAAACTATCCGCTATATATTTGATATATTTTTAGACTACATTTTTATACTGATAAATAATTTATAAAATTAACAAATTTAATAAAACCTTACACGAGATCGTAGTGGTGTTTTCGACCTCTCAATTTCAATGTACCAACATAATTAAATGCTTAGTATCCTTTCAGAAACTATTTAATTAAAACAATGTTTTTATTAAAATCCTTATGTTATGACTTCTACATGGAACGACGTGGTCCAGGGCCACCCTTTCACTTTTTGCCGGACTGAACAAGTAACGGGGATTTAGGAATTCCGTTTTACAAACCATCATAACATTATCTCCTTAATCACATAGTACTTATTATTTATAACAATATCAAATTGTGTACCTATTAATGATAATTTTAGAACAAAAATGATACGGTAATAGAACATAGTAACTCATGTTATCTTCATACTTATAGTTTTACAGACTCTATCAGCACCGAAGTATTGTCAGAATAATTTGCTGAAAATAGGTTTGTCTCAGCCTTAGTCTATAGTGCAAGGTGTATGGTGTATGCGGCACACGAGTGCTACATAATCTAAACACAGTAAAAAACACTTCTTATCTTCGAATTCCTGAATATAGCTTGAAAAAAGTTAAGAACTATAAGAAATCTCTTCTATTTGTTACACAAACGACGACTGATATAACAAACAATAAAAAATCGCTTATGTATATATAAAACAGCTTAGAGTAAATATAATTGAAATAATTTTTTTAACAACGATAAGTACGTACTTATCCCATTATCGTACTTGTCACTTACGTACACCACAGAGATCATGAGAGCTTACGTCACGCACGGCAGTATTATTGATGCACCACAAAAAATGATGCTAGTTAGTGGTTACCAAAAGCCAATGACAATTTTTGGGGGTTGGCTGAACAGTGAAAGGTTTCAAGCTTTTTTCAAAGGAATATCAATTGTAGGCCGGTCAATTTATACATCCAAGATTACATATGCATAATCGACTGAAAAATACTTAAACCCGTATCGATCCGACTGGACGAAAAAAGTGTAGCTTCATAAAAATGGCTTTAAATATTCAAATAAATAGTAGCAGAATGATACCCAGGAGTGTACGCACAGAAATAGGAAGATGCCACAAATATGTGGATAAATATATTACGTACGTGATCTTAGGTTAGGTCAGTAAGCGGGTAAGTGCATTTATGACAATAAAACGGCTTAACGAGATTTTTGCAGAATGTATATGTTGCAATTGTTATATGTATGTATATCTCGCATAAATACTTATATACCTATGTTTATTAGTAATTTGTGTGCTTGTTTAGAACCTATTGTTAAGATTTCTCTGCATCACCCTTGAGGTAGACTGGTAGACAATGCCTTCGGGCATCAAGAATTAATTTTGTGCATAAAGTGTTAAATAAAATAAAAATGAATCTAAATAGATTCATTAGAACCATTATTATTGAAGGTATTGAAAAACATTTGTACATTATTATTGAGAATTTATTATTAACACGAACCGAACTTATTAGTTGTGCAGGCGTTGGTGAACGTTAACTAGTACTCTGTAATTCTGCATCAGTGTTTCATTCTCAGTTTGTTTGACTTTAGCTTCCTTTCTAATTAGCACTCGTAGTGCGATGGGAAGTTTTGTCCACTCCTCAACCTCTGTTAACTACCTTTATAATATCTCTTGACAGGATACTTCGATGTTATCAAAACAAATTCGTTCTACACCAACATGAGAACGAATTTAAAAAAGGGTTTATTTATAAAAAACTCACCTGTTATTTCAGGGTTTGCATGTTGCAATGGTTCCAAATAGTCCGATATGTCAAACAACACATCGTCCACGTTCGGCACACACTTGCTGTTTAACCTGCCGCAGTACATAGGTCTGTAGTGGTATCCGATGGGGCAACACTTTCTCACACAAAATGCACCGTACTTGGAACAACTACGATCACACACTCGCGCCACTAACTCCGAACTCGAAAACTCCCGGTCCAAACACCACTGTCCCGGAGCAGCTTCGCCGCTACCGTCGCCTTTTTTGCTAAAAATGTTTAAAGTACTTCCATTCACTTTGAGTGAAAAGAACCTTTGTCTCAACTCTATGCCATATTCATTTAATTCACAGCGAAGTCCATTATCCACCTCGTAAATATGATTATCGTTCATTTTTAACCGCTTCAATAGCCATTCTTCAGAGTTATTCACCTCAGTGTCTCTACATATATGATAATTACTGTCATAGCTCTGCCCCCTTGGACAACACTTTCGATAATAATTAATAATCAAATTATTTTCAGATGTGTTCCTTTCCTCATTTTTTACACAACTTTTAATTCCTACAACTACAGGAGTTATTGCTTTTACAGTGCCATTTTGCAATTCTGCCACAAGTCTGTCAAAACAGCCATTAAATGGTTCTGACTGATCGAATAACTCTATAGCTAATATTTCTTGCGTTAGATTATCATCACATTTATCAGGTATACCATACTCCAACGATATGTTTTTACCAATAAAAAGAGGAGTTATAGTAATATTATAGTCAGTCCACGCACTTTCACGATCTATACACTCATAAGAAAAGCTTAAGTTAAAGGCTTCATCATCGAACACTTTCATTAAGCCCTGATTGTTCGCACAACACTTATGAAACACATTGGCGCCCTGGATGATCTCGACACTAGCGCAGACAATTGCACTCAATACAATTAATAAATGCATTGTTTATAAAATTCCCGAATTTCGGACTCGGACATCAACATCCACCAACAACTTCTTAAAACAGTTGGAAAGTATCGGCCGGCGTGGTGAGCATTGTTTATTTTTGAAGATCCGTGCGAAACGTGTGTTGTGGCAAAGCGTCGACAGCGCAATGATGCGGCTTCGCGGCTCGTTCCACTGTGATCAGTGCCGGCCGGCCGGTGTCGGTGGAGGCTGCTGCGCCCTTGAAGCTGCCCGCTGTCTGTCGGTGACGCGGAGCTTTTGTTTTGCTCACCGATTTTTTTGCCTTTTTGCTCACTCGCGGGTTTGTCGTTGGAGTACTATTTTACACTTGAAATAAAACAAATTCACACTTTTTGACCAAAATTGAAAATAATCCTCTATGGAATTGGCTTAATAATTTGTCAATAAATCGGCAGTAGCTACACCAAACTAGCAACAATAAAAACTGACTTCGCGTCGCGAGTCACGCGTACGTATTGTACAAAGACGACGACTCAAATTTTTATCAGATATCTTCCGATAAAAACATGAAGCGACTGATTGTATACGTAGAATTTTGAGTGTAAACAAATATACTATTTGTAGCATTGATATTATATCGATAACTGATTTAATTTCTACAGAAATAATTGCAATTACAAATACGAGAAACTCGGCTGCGACACAGGTGGCAAGTGTGATTTTTAAGAAATTGGTTTCATTTATATAAGTTCTGTACACACGAATAGTAGCTCAATGGACGCCTAAGGAATTACTTAGCACGTTATTAAAGATAATTTAGTATAAAACTCATGTTTGCTAAAACAAAACAATAAACATGTAAAACGCACGCATTAAACATGTTAACAATCGTATTTATGATGCAGTGTAGGTAGACTCTGACCATATATAAAAGTACCCTTATTGGTTATAAGTATTTAAGGCCAATCACCTTTTTACTGGGTCATTTTTGTTATTACGTAAAAGAGGTGACATAAGAGGTTCGGTGAAACATTCAAATTATTACACTTTTACTGTACTAACTTTATTTTTATTTTTTAAACACTGCTTACCAATATATACATATATTACTGGATGATCAAAAAGACAAACAAGAATTCTACCTATTTATTCTGCTTGGAATTTATGCTCTACGCAGTAGAACCATGCTTCGTCACGAATATGTTGGCTCATCCTGAATCATCGCACGGCCTTACATGAAGCAACGGGTACTTGAGCCATAATTCCTCCCATCAATCCGAATCTCTAAAATTTCTATATATCTTTAGATGTCCTATTAAAGAAAAAAAACTTAAAGTTCGGCGACCGTAAACGCTTTTTTTCTAACGAAGACGTAAGTAAATCTACTTGACTTTGTCTTCATATGTATCTCTTAATTGCATATAGAATTTAAAAAGAAAAAAACGGAAAAAGGAAATAACCTCAAGGACAATATATTTAGACAGTTTAGGTAGAGCTGACCAGACCTAATTGAGAGTGCCCATTCACGAACATGACAAATATACCGCCCAACTCACCCTTATTATAGGGAATCGAGCGATCCAGTGCCCGTGCCAACGAAAATCAGACTTTTGAATGAGCATGACTATACTCCAAGCTGATAGAAGTACCTACATTCTAGTAGTATAATTTTAATTGTAATAGGCTACAGGACACTCACGTTTACGTAAGTTTGACAATATATATATATGTATATATATATAATGAGTAGCATGGTCGTGATTTTACCTACTTACAAGAGTAGAATAGTTTCGTTCAAGCAAGAAACCTACTGAAAAATTCGTGATTTTCGTATACATATACTATCTTACGGAGCAGATCCAGCCTTTCTACATCTCCACCCATGTTTTCCTTAATATAATCATTCAGCGTGTAGCATTGCTTGTGTACATAATTTTTTCTTTACACATTTAATTTATTTTAATTAATTATTATGTTTTCGGCTTACTCACGTAATAATTTGACGAGATAAAGATTAAGTATCTCGTCAAATTATTACGTGAGTGAGCCGAAAACATACCTAATAATTAATTTAGAATGTCTCACGAAAGTTACAATAATTTTATTTATCTTAATTGTTGTATTTCGTCTCTTATACTCGTCTTCGGAGTTTTGTTACATTTAACACAGAATCCCATGAACGATCTGTGCACTCTTGCCAATCTAAATACCTAATGGCTGACATTATATCTAGTTTAATAATCATATCTGTCAGAGACTTTGCTAATAATGTTAAACTTTTGTATCATACATAAAGTTTTCATAAATAAATTAACATGAGGTCGATAAAAACACTTATTATACAGCAATCTGTATGTATACAATGTAGTTGAAACTGTTTAAAATGTTCACTGCGTCTGCGTTTGAAGACACCGATATCAATATAATGTTATTAACAAGCGCTTAATTTTAATATGCAACGTGTCAAATGCATATACTCGTACATGAGTTACATTTAAAGTTTGATGATTGAACAAAATAGGGGTGTATCAAGAAATGTGTTCCCGTAACTCCCGTTTTTGGTTAGTTATTTTCCGTTACGTACAACATATGCCTAGGTAAAATTTCCTCAGTGAGCATACATTGCCCTGTGTGTCTTTGCAGTGCTTCCACTATGGAAGTACCCGCAGGCGCACACTGACCACTTCCTTTGCAATAATTAGGATACGCAGTGCCTCGGTGTTAAATCGCTTTCTAGCGCAGCACTAACAGTGCCCAGGAAAGTATTAATTCAAGTCCGACTACGCAGAATACAGTAGCCATCTAATGCACTGTTTCGGATAGTCCGTGTTACATACCAGATCGTCATATTAAGTCATTTTATTGTTACTGACTTATTCATTTTACTTTTTTAGTTGATTTAATTTATTGATATCGTTATTGTGATATGACACTTCCTCTCGTCCCGCCCTGGGCGGGAGAAGTCATACATAATATAATGATTTTCGGGATTTTCCCATGAGATAAACAAATACTTCACTTAATGACTAGATATGGCTTAACTAAACAGTACTCTTCCTACGCTCAGAACTCATTGGATGTAAGAAATGAACGACACTCCTTGTGTTAATTATTTGCGGTCGCTTGCTCTCAACTTCTTTTCGTTGATCGTAGTAGAGTTTAAAACCGATAGCTTGTCTGGCGGTAACAGCTCATGATGAATACTGCTCTTCCAGTCCCACCACACATACAGCATCACCCTAATGCGGGCAAACCCAGGTTTCGCCACAGTTTGTTTGGCCTGACCGTCCTCTGACCATGACCTTTTCCTCATGCTCATGTCATTCGTGATCCAATTTTCATCACCAAAATGGTTCGTATTCATTACGTCCTAATAAAGAATCACAAGTAATCACAACTGAGTATACGGTTCGTTAGGTTTCTTTCAGTATACCTACCCAGTTTTTTTTCAAATATACCAAACTATTTTAAAAAAGTTTTTGAAAAACTGGAGAATTGAGAACAGACTAATTCCCAATTTTAGAACTAAAATAGAACTAAAATTTTAAAATGTATCGAATTTTTTTATTCGTTTCACTCATCGTGACCAAAGAGTATTTAACCACTTCGTTTAATCGTGACAGTACGAAATACAAATGAAAATCACAATTTTCCTAATTTGAATTTGGAATTATGTTCTTTAATTTTTTTACTTTCAATGACACTAAAACCAGCCAGGTACAAAGAGTTTAGCCGAAGAGATTTTATTACGTACAAGTTTATACTTACTTACTATAATGACTTTTCCCCAATTTAAAAATTAAATATTTTTGCAATAATGTAGTAACTATAGTCGACATAGCCCAGCGGATTAGTAAGTTGAAGTGGCAATGGGCAGGGCACATAGCGCGTAGAACCGACGGCCGCTGGGGCAGAAAGGTTCTCGAGTGGAGGCCACGTACCGGCAAGCGCAGCGTAGGACGTCCACCCGCAAGGTGGACAGACGACCTGATTAAGGTCGCAGGAAGCCGCTGGATGCAGGTCGCTTCCAACCGGCCTATCTGGAAGTCAATGGGGGAGGCCTATGTTCAGCAGTGGACGTCCTGTGGCTGATATGATATGATGATGATGAATGTAGTAACTTATACTACAGAACTATAACGGGATTAAGCAGTCAGCCACATGGAATGCAGTAATTGCAAAAATTCAACATCGCAAAGTCGACTAAAAAACCGTGAGTGTAGTGTGTACGTGGCTTTAGGGGGTAGATGAAGATCAATACCCTTCATCGACGGAGTAGTATCATCGAACAGTCTGCCTGTGACCACTTTAGGTGTAACCCTGCCGAAACGTCAAGCACATAACGAATAATAAATTTTAAATTAAAAAAACCCCCAACAAAATCACTAATATCCTTTTAAAAAGTATTTATATTTTATTTTATTATCTACCACATATTTCTATTTTCTCGGGGGTCTAATTTATTTTTTTATTTCATACTTTTTATAGGTATTTTATATCATTTTCTCTCGATTAAGTCATCAACATTCTCTTTCAGTGCGCTTTCATTTGAGACCCCACTCGAGTACCTACATTTCAGACCTTCGGTTACCCTTTCCCACTTACCCCCCATAACTTCTAAACGGCTAACCGATTTTCGTCAAACATGTCTAAGGACACTCGCACGTAAGTCACCTTTAATACAAAAAAAAAACTAAATTAAAATCGCGTCATCTGTTCAGGCTGACACAGGATGCCACAGACAGACAGAAAGTTATAAATCCCCTCTTTTCTCGTCGGGGTCGGCGGTTAAAAATGGTACTACGTGTGCGTTAAATCCCGTTAAGCAGTGAAGTATTCTTAGATTACAAACAATAAAAAATAGCATAAAAAGTAAAATACTTTATTTAAAAAAAAATACATCTTAAATTCATTGTACAAAATAATCAAAGCTACGACATGTAAATATTCATAAAAACTGGCTTACTGAATTGGCACATAAATTACTTAGGCAGCTAACATAAGATAGGTACAAATTGTTTCGATTTGCTTAACTATAGATGGCATTATTATAACACATTAAACATTATTTTATAGTTATAAATATATTTTATTCCCGAACGAGTAGGGTGAGGTGCACATAATATGTATATTAAATAATTTGCCAGAATTACTTAATTTGACAACGCGTGACAACAACTCAATTAATTTAGACGTACTACTACGAGTCGTATTTATTAGAATGCTTTCTATCTTTATGCAAAAGAATAATTTTTAAAAAGCTAATATATTTTTTCAGCAACCCCTTTGAACGTCATCAATGCGTGTTTTTCCAACTAGTAAATAGGTACATTGCAAAGTCATAATCAGGATTCCGACTAAGTAAAAACATATAGTACATACATATCGTATATTCATAAATAATCCGATTTTTGTTCGAGAAGTGAAAACAACTTTCACTGAAACAAAAACCAGAAAACAAAAAATAGTATACTTTAAAATCCAACCAGAAAAGAAAAGGACGGAGTTTTTATAGAATTACAGCAACAGGCCAAGGTGTAAGTATGTGTAATTAAGTATATTTTTGTGTGTTACAACTACGATGACAAAGTTCTTTAATCATTCTTTCGTAAGTAATAAAAGTTAATTAAAGCAATATAATATATTAATTAAGCATAATAATAATATGTCGCTAAGTATAAACGTTAATTTCATTTTATATTTTTACAAAAATAACAGATCTACATATTAATCACTAAAACACTAGATCAGTTCTTTCATATTAAACGTTTACAGGTACATATTTAAAATACATAATAAAAGAGTACAATCATGAATAGCTTGAAATGATTCAAATTAAAACAGAATACAAAACAACGTTCCGACTTTTTGGAAGCATGAGTGAATTAATGTTTACAGTTATAAAAATGTTAATTTTGTATCCAAGCAATAAGGTCTTATTGCACATTAAACTCTTTCCTTGTTTCTGTGACATAAATAGAAAAGACTATACGTTGTCTATGCCTGATATTATCACGATCAATAGAATGTTCACATCACATTATTAATTCAAAAATCGCATTAAAGATGGTAACAAACTTTTATAGGTTTTTTTGAACTTTACATACAATTGGCACCAACACGATAATGTTAAATCACATTTTGTCACGATTATTTAAATTGAGACTATCTACATATCTTGGTTCGGTACTTAACAGTCGAGATAAGTTTGTTAATTGACTGATGCAAATTATATTTCTTTTATTTTAATAAATCGAAACGTTTGCTTAAATAATATACAGACCTATTCTAATTATTGAGTAAACTACAGCTTCTGCTAAAATTTACTTAGAAGCGTAATGTTAAGAGACTAGTGTTTCGTTAAATACAGTATTTTCTTAATCAGTGGCAGCCGCAGCTCTTGACTACCATGTTTTTGTATTTGCGCAAGATCACGTTGGAGTCATCCGTGTAGTACAACACTGATATCGGTGACAACTTGATCGGTGCACACGATGGCTTCGGAACCTATAATCAATATTCAACTTTAAATTCAAGGCATAAAAACAATTTTTCTAGCTAGGAAGAGAGCTCAAGAATTTGCTTACTGGGAAGTTATTTTTTAATATTGTAAGTATAACGGTTTCTGTGGCAATTCTTTCGTAGGCACGTAACTATTTTGTGAAAATTTCTCTTTGATATTTATAAGAAGCTGTAAAGCTGATGTTTTAATTAATCAATTACAGATATGATTTATCCACCGATTGCAAACGACTTATAGAGTTTGCACACACAGATAGAGCTATATATTAACAATGAGTATTTCGATGTTGAAATTATCTGTAATTGCTTTAAGTGTATATGAATAACTTGAAAAAAATCGCCATGAAAACCGTTTTTTGTAGAAACTTATCAAAAACAACTTTATCGACAACTAGCTACTCCCGCACGGTTGCACCCGCTGCCTGCTCGGCTCTTACAGATCTGAGCGTGATGTTTTATAGCTTCGATAAATGGACTAACGAACAAATAATTGTTCAATTCGAACCAGTAGTTCCGGAGATTTGCGCCGTTCAAACAAACAAACTCTTCAGCTTTATAATTATTAGTATATGTAGATAAATTTTAACTCCATCATACTTAGTCAAATATGAATTGGATATGCGGGCTACCTGTTATCTCAATGACCCAAAGACGTATCTTTTTGATTTTTTTATCATATCACAGTTGATTCATGTTTTTATCATCCATCCATTTTACCCAGCCAGATGAAATATACATAGTTCTATTTCGGCAAGTGATTACTACTAGAAGAAAAATTATGTTTAAAGTCTCTTGGTTTAAAACAAAAATAATTAGAATTACAAGTACTGTACCTTCGTAGGATTTAGTAGATGTACAAGGGTTTGTACGATGGCGTGATTTGTTGCATTCTTGTGCGCGTTCAGAGGGAAGTTGCACTCACCGCTGCAGTAGAACGCACCGTAACCATCCGGAGCTATGATCCAGTCCTGCGGTATTATGCATAAAACAATGTTATATAAATAATATATGTACTTAACACAAATAAAAACCTTCGGAAACGATGTAAATGTTTTTAACTCGCGATTATTGTTGAACATTACAATCAACTAGCTTCTCTCACGCGGTTTCACCCGCTGCTCAGCTCCACTGGATCGTAGCGTGATATTTTATAGCCTATAGCACTGAGGGACATTGTAGCTATCTATCAGTGAAAAAAATTTGGCAATCCGACCAGCGGTTCCAAAGATTGCCCTCTACATACAAACTTACAAATTTTACCTCTTTATAATATTAGTATAGATTTAAATCGACTTTCTGGACTTATTAAAGATAACAAATTTCTATAGGGATTCAGCAAATTTCTTTTGTGTTATTACAATTTTATTCTAACCTGCCATTCTAAGTCCTTAAAACTGACATACAATGTCTGGATCTCACAGCTTCTTGTAGTCCAATGAGATGTATCTGCAAAAAAAATAACAAAATAAAAATATAATTTAGGCACATACTTTTTAAGGTGAGAGAGGGATGGAGAGACGAGATTTTTTTTACCGCTAAGAACAAAAATCTATTCGGTATTGTAAAAATCATCAGGTCAATTAAGCGTAAGTGTGGAAGTAACACCACAACATTATGGAATAACGCCGTGAAACATTTCCGTTGCATTTTGCCGCTTGAGTGAGGTTACCGGAGGCCCAATCCTACACAACCATACTCAATCCCTAAATCGCTATCCTTAAATCCCTAATAACCCACAAAAGACCGGCAATGCACTTTTAGTAATTCATTTGGTATTACGAGTGCCCATGACCGGAACCCAATGCTTTTTTTTGTCAGGGGAAAATCATCAAATGACTTCTCCCGCCGAAGAGTGTCAGACTCTTACGGACTAAAAACACCCCCGTTCCTTCTCCTGCTGCCTCTGGGCTGAGGCTGCGGTGACTCATTGCGCTTAACCCGGCTGAGCATTAGCCCTATAGGGCCCTGTCTGTGGCAGTCTATCGGCTCTGAGGGGGAACCGATTGCTACCGATTGCTTCCAGATCAGGTAATCCGGAGTCCGTTTTCCAACATACTCAATAAAAATAAGTTATATTTATAACAACGCTATCTGCTTAACAGTCAATCGAACTATAGGTAATTAGAAATTGACAGTGCAGTTCACAATCAAAATGAACTTGTGACGGGTATTACCGTGTTAGGTAGAACTTGTTAGCCGGGGTTGCGGGGTAAGCGCAATGAGGCACCGCGACTTCGGCCTAGAGCAGGAGATGGAACAGGGGGGTTTTTAATCAGTAAGAGTCTGACACTCACTCCCGCCCGGCCCTGGGCGGGAGAAGTCATTTGATGATTATCCCCTCACAAAAAAAAGGTAGAACTTGTTACGCAAGTTTAAGATAATATTTCACTTATTGTTTATTAGTCACACCAATCATACTAAATATGTAGGTATACACAGAAATCACAAGTGCTTAATGATAACGATACAAAATACCATTGATATCAGAATGCAAAATAGTATTAGTCATGAATAATGTGATGACCATATTTAGTCATACAAACTCTTTTCTGAAATAGATTTGGCTGTGGCTTTTCTGCTAGTTTATCATTTATATCTTTGAAAGGATAAAAGATAAAAGAACACAAGTCTTTGAGAAAGAAAAAAACCAAAAAGAAATCAGTGAATAGATGTCGGACTGATTAACTGTTTTTTTTTTTGTAATAAATCTGTGAACTTCATTAAGGAGGTCTGAGATCACGCAAAATTAAGAAAATAAAATGGAACATCCCCGTATCCGTGTAAGTATTACAAATGCAACATTACCTACTATAGCTAGCTAGCTTGTCATAGTTTTCAAAACAGTGTACCGACCTAACACCCCGTAAGCAATATTTTAATGAAATTTTCTTTGCGATTCCCGCAATTTTTTACGTTTTGTACCATTACGCAGCACCGTATAGATAAATAGGTATCATCATCAGCCTATAAGTGCCCACTGCTGAGCAAAGGCCTCTTCTCATACGGAGACGGTTAGAGCATTAATCACTACGCTTGCTCAATGCGGGTTGGCGATTTCAAACTTATAATTAGAAATTATAAGTCCAGGTTTCCTCACGATGTTTTCCTTCACCGTATGTCAGTGATGTCTAAATAATCATAGATGAATAGGTATACCAGATAACATTTCACGAAATACCCTCTACAAAACCCCGCCAAAGAAAATTATAGTGAGAGACAATGTGTTATAAACATAAAACACATAAAACAATTAGAAAAAAAAACAAATTTTCAATAAACACAAACAAACGTACACACCTGTAAGTGGATTCCTAAGGTAGTTCTCGGAATATCCGTGGGAGCGCCACCGCCTCGCCTCACGTTTCCTCCGAGCGCCTACGTCAGCGCCAGCAAGCTTTGGTCCGCTCTTAAAAAATGCCACTACGAACGGCTGCTTTCCCTCAACAATAACCCCACGAGGTTCCTCCAAACCAATCTCTTCAGGCTTTACGTGACGTTCTAGAAGAAAAAAAAATCAGTTGAAAAAAAATATCGGAATCTTCACGAAATTCTCTTCATCAATCACTTTTTCAAATGAAATTAAGGAGCCTGCCTACGTCAAAATATCTATTTTATTTATATTAAATAATAATATTGCAATGTAAGATAGAGCCTATTATTACCTACACATTATTACGCACCTGTGTCTAGCCTAGATCAAAGGTGTGGACTCAAAATACGTTTTTATAAGTAAGTACTACGTAATAAGGCTAAAATAATTTAAAGAATTCTAACTAAGAAAGTAATTAATGTTTAAAACGCTTTAAAGCCGTCATTCAGTTGTGAAAAACTAAAAGCTCTACTAGAGTATAGGTATAAAAATATCAATTGGACATTTTACAACCTGGCAACAACTTGTATGCATACCTGGCTGCGAGTGGGGATGCAGCGTGATAAAGAAGCCTCGATTATCTGCTGGTGATGAGAGCCACGCCCCCAGCGCACTCGTGACGTTTAGCTCCAACCAGCCCTCGGCACCAGCACTCGTGTTCACCGCGGCCACCTTCTCCATTTGCAAACTCCTAAAATCATAAAATATTGATAATGGTATTAAACCTTAAGAACTAACTAACATTAGACAGCAGAAACAAGGCAGGACAGCAAACAAAGGTTTCGACCAGTAACTGTCTATTAAATGTATTGATTTTATCATCGGCCTATAAATGGCCACTACTTAGCAAAGACCTTCTTTCACAGATAAACTTTTATGCATTAATCACCACGCTTTCTCAAGGCGGATTGGCGATTTCAAAGTTATAATTAGAAATTATAAATCCTTAAGGCGCCTTAGCCTTTGGGCCACGAGTCCACGACGACGTCGACGTGATTTTACCATAAAATTATTAGATATGTCGCATAATTAAAAAATATTAGTAGATCGAGTGCCAGATTCACTACCTTCTTTATTAATGCTTTTAATAAAAAAGTGTTGGAAGTTGCAAATATAACATATACAGTAAGAGTGTAAATGTGATTTTTTATCCGGTTTTTTTTCAAACATACCCTAAATTATCCACGCTGATGACCCTGTGAGCAACGACTGTGTAAAGGGCGGTTGGGTCCTCTGTGTGTGTAGGCGCTTGATGTAAACGCAGTTCCGCCGAAAGAAGCGAAGACGCATCTCCAGGCGCTCCCGTCACTTCGAACCAGACATGTCGGCCGTGACCGTGACGTAATGCTCCCAAATGATGCCCTGAAATGTAGAAAGTAAAATATTAAATAGATTTATTCAGAAAAACAATCATAGCGTAGTTCTTGAAAAAAAATCGTTTTCTCATTTGTCAATAGAATGCAAGGTTGGCACCTTAATTTTCTGTTCTGTGGTTGGCACAGTGCATGGACAAGCTAGCGCTGTAGGTGCTAGGTTGTCCATCCTCTGTGCATTATAATCTTTCAGGCAAGAAAGAGGGATGGAGCCATACACCTTTTATAGCCCCATCCCTCTTTCTCGCCCGAAAGTTTCACGCTTTAACACGTCATGGTAGGCCCTCTGAGTAGTCTACTGCGCAAAGTATCGTAGATCAGTTATCTGCATGGGACAACTCTTTTAGAGATTTTCAGATTGATGTGTCGGGTCTGGATCTGATGTGCAAGTGCTTTCATATATTATGTTTATAATACTAGTTCTTAAAAATAAAAGACTGTCGTCTAAAAACGCAAAAAAGTATTAACTCTCGTATCGGTCCAGAAATTGATTTTTTTATGGAATAGGTTGGCAAACGAGCCGGTGGATCACCGGGTGGTAAGTAATCGGCACTGGCCATGGACAGCCAAGCGAGCGCTGCTGGCCTTTTCGGAATTAAGGTTTCGGATATTTAAAGATTGGAGAGGGATGGGTGGACCAACCACACTCATACGGCAAGATTCAACGCTGTGGTTGTTTCAAGCCGATTTTCTGTGTGGCCGTGGTAATCACTCCGGTTGTGCCAACCCACACTTATATGTCGTATGTTTACCTAAATAATCAATTTTTTCCTTTAATAACTATTATATTAGACGCTATGATGATTATTTTATCATAGATATTATTTATTTAGATATGAAGTCATCGCGGTTAGCGTAGACACATATAATTAGTTTAATTCATCACAATATAGTTTTCAAAAAGGTTTGTCAACAGGTGTCCGACGATCCGGTTGTAATCTGACTCCGAGTCCAGGTGTACATAATAAATAAGAAATATTAAGTTTGACAATAAAGTATGGAATTATGTATTATGCATAAGTTATCTTAAAATAATGATTATTCATGAGAACAACAACATATGTACACAATACAATGAAGTAGATACTGCGTCGTAGTACTACGTTACTCAAGATAAATCAAAAGGAACTTGTCAATAAGTAAATTTGCCTAGTACACAAGTACAGGATTAAGTTAGTACCTATACAACTGAATCCTGTACTTGTCTCAACAATTTGGCTTGGGAACTTGTGGACCATATCTATCGCCACGTAGTAACAGATTACGTCAAGTCACAAATTTTAGTGCTGATTTAATATACAAAGAATCCTTTTTGAACATCGAATAAAAAGCAGCTAAGTGCGATTTCGATTCGCCCATGAAATATTCCATCACAGTAAGTACCTAATATACTATATAAGTTTATGTTTTATTGACAACTACTTTACTACTTACTGAATATCGTTCAAATTCAATTTTGGTGGCAGCTTTTATACGTAAATACAAACATTTTTATATACTTAGTTTATTTACCTACATTTAGCTAAAGTATGTACCTAGACACCATTATGGTCGATCACTTTTCTATAGAAATTTTGGGATCCTATTGCTATAGAAATTTTGGGACTACTGATCAAAATACCGCGACTATTGGTTTTGGCCTGTGGTTTTGGCAGTCCTCTCGAGATGTTAACCTGACACTGCTCAAAAGAATTCTGAGGTGGCCGAAACAGGTGCAGCGGGTGCATTAACACTTTCCAAACATTCATTTTACTAATTTTTGCTGAGTGGCTAAAAAGATGTGTGAGAAACAAAAAAAAGAATCATCATTATGAAAAACTACACCCCTTCTGTTGATTAATTCCGGTCGCTTTCTCTCAACTTCTTGCTTTAATATCATTAGTTGTTTGCTGTAGAGTTCTCTCTTGTTGAGAGTTGTAGCGGGTTTCGCCACATTCTGTGAAGCCTGACCGGCCTTTGACCACGAACTTTTTCGTACGCTCTTATAGGTAGGTGCGTTATTCACATTTCATCACCAGTTATCAGCTTCTTACTAAATGGTTCAGATTCATTACGTCGTAATAAAGAATCATAAATAATTACACGGCTCTTTAGATTTCTTTCAGTGAGCTCGTGAGGTACCCAAATATCGAGCTTTTTTGTGTACAGTACCCAATTTCTTTCAAATGCGCCACGGCGTGTTTTTGATCAATTCCCAATTCTTGAGCTTCGTAATAACTATTGATTAGCTACGTCATAACAACTTTTTCAAAAATGGCACGTAATAATAATAATCCAGAGCGACGTGCTTCTTTGACATCAAAATTTCCTAATTGACAACGCTTAAACTATCTGGTACTCTCACAGATACTGCTCAGCCGGGGTTGTGGGGTAAGCGCAATGAGGCACCGCGACCTTGGCCCAGCAGCAGGAGAAGGAACAGGGGGGTTTTTAGTCAGTAAGAGTCTGACACTCCCTCCCGCCCGGCCGTGGGCGGGAAAAGCCATTTGATGATTTTCCCCTCATAAAAAAAACAGATACTGCTAGAGCTGGCTTGCGTTCCATTTTTCCTTTTTTTATAATACAATTTTAAACTGTATTGAATTTCTTCATTTGATTCAAACAGACAAATGAAAATCACATTATCTCTTTTTAACAGTAACAGGATAAAAAACTTAATATCATTTTTTTATTTTGATGTAAATAAATAAATACCTGTGTGATGAAGAAAATTGTACGGAATAAAATTTGTATTAACAGTAATTGATGATGAAGTTCACATTATTAATATTACAGGTACCTACTTATAGTAAAAAAATAATTCGTTGTTTATCAGAATATTCCCACGGTCTGTGTTCCAGCATCCCCGCTTGGCTTCACATAAGAATTTCGCTACACATCAGTAGCTAGAGCCTCAAGGCTTGATGATTACCTACTGCGAGGTAGGTACCTTATACCTGTAGCTACGTGATTATGCGTTTACTTTAAATATCGAATTCATGAGACACAACAATGCGCCAGTCTGTCTGTTCTACGCAAAATTGAAGAAACCCAGATAAAATAGGCGCTGTCTGTCCGTCGATTATTTTTTTAAGTAAATAATTACTTAGGTACTTCGGGCTTTTTATATCGGGGCAAATCATCGAATATCTTCTCCCGCATTGGTTGGGGCAGGAGCGAGTGTCAGAATGACTAAAAACCTCACTGTTCCTTCTCCTGCCGGACTCGGCGCCGCAAAGCATTATTGTGCTTTTACACGCAACGCTGCCTTAACAATAGGCTCTATTAGGCCCTGTAATGTGTAGGTAGATATGTCAATATAACACGTCGTCGTTTAATCCATTATTTCCGTTTATCCGTTTTCTACTTCATACATTCACGCTTACATTTCCTTCGTAGTTATGAATATGTAATCTTGATATTATCCGAATTTAATAGAGCGTGTGCCCATGATAATAATAATTATTATATGTATAGGTACTTGGAACAGAATTCAGAGGAATTATTCCGAAAATATAAGTATTACACAAAGGACATTCTGTAACACCTCTTATACATTGTGGAATGCAAATAAATATGAATATGAATATGACACTAAATAAATATACAATCGAACTTACAACTTCTTGTCTATGTACTTACATACGGTTGTATAAATAAAGTATGTTTCTTATGAAAACATTTTGCTAGAGAAAAAAGGGACATAGTTTATTATTTGTATATACCTAGCTAATCTTAGATTGTGTTCGGTTGTCTGCATAAACCTAATCTATTGTATTCGCCTTTGACCGTTTCAGATAACATTTTAATATAGAAACATACTAATATGTGTATCTATAAATAATATATAATACAAACATTGTTATTTACGATCAGTTATACTTATGTACAAATTACACGAAGTACGTACGCATATACACACTATACATATTATTATAACATTATTGTTTATGTGCGGGACATTCATTATTTTCCTTGAATAGATAGCACTGCATTACGGTCTAGAAAGAACCGACAGTTTTTTAAACATATTGTTATTGTATTAATCTATTGCAGCACTCATTCATTCATCGTACATAAGTACTTACCTTATTAAAAAAGGTTATTAGGTATAAGAATGTAAACACAATAATAGAGGTGCGGCAGCTTTTCTCCGAAGAGGTACCCGGAACAAGTCGAAAATGTATTTCCTAGCTTTTATTGAGAATTTCCTACAATTTGTGCAGTTTGAATAGAAACAAGATTCAAGTAGATATGATTTAAGATAACATGTTGTAAACCTTTCTTCTACCTTTATGCTTTAACAATTATACAGTTCGGCGCCGGCGCCGCTCAGATCAAATGCCATTAAACATAATTATGGAATCCACGATACCAAGAATGTTTACCAAAGCGGTGACTCAACATTTTTGTCTACAACTTCTTACCTGAACCTCCCAGGTAGTAGTTACGGAATGCTTTTGACGCATTCTCAAAAACAACAGATTTACGAATACAAGTGGGTCCCAGCATGTGTCATTAAGTTTAACAATTTAATCTACCGGCACTGCCTTGTTAAGCGTTTAACTCGGTGTTAATTTTAAGTGTCTTGGAATATCTTTGCTCTGCTTTGCCTAATTCAATCAGATTCCAGGATATGTAAGACCCCATGGAAATAAACAATGTAACGAATTAGGTACCATGCATTCTTGTTATTTAAATAATGTAAAAAAAAATTAAAAATATAAAATAGGCAACAGGATAAATGAGTCCATAAAACTCGATAATAGGTACCACTTTTAGATGCCATCGTGCTAATAAATGTACTTATTTAAATTGATAACATTTGTAAATTAAACTCACTCTTGCTTTGAAAGGTCATGATGAGGTCACTCTCGTCAATGGCATGCTGCTCATCACCGCTAAGAGCCATCTCCGAGCTACGAGTAGGGCGAGCCTGTTCATGTTCTTCAGCAAGCTGCTTGTAAACGTCCAACAAGAAACTGGGCGCCGAACGGTCCAGAGGAGGCGCTCGAGCTCGACGTGGCCTCTCTCCAAGACCTAAAAGTTCTAGTATCTCATGTTCTACCACCATCCGTTCATGTCTTGTCATCGAGTGATGTATGACAGTTTGATCCACGCCATTGTCGATATACAACCCAGAGAGGGCGGCCTCAGCCGCTACAGTAAACAAAATAACACACGCGCACAAGCACACCGTCTTCGGGCCAGCCATATTCGCTGTCGGAGCGCTCACTCGACTCGACTGGCGAGAACTGAGCGCAGAGGCGCGCGGCGGGATCAGCCGGTGAACCTGCTCACTCAAGGTGGGCCGCCGCCGCCGGCGCCGCACTTGCCACATTCCTCCCCGCCATCGCCTTGCACACATCGCCCGTTTTAATAACGTTTGTAAACACTAAACATTGAGCCAGGCACGTCCAGCCAGCCTGACTGCATATAATAAGTACACCACTTTATTTTATATCATGCCGCACAGTGCATTGCAAATTAAACCACAAATACCAGTCAGGTATCTAGAGTTTTAGGAGTAATTTAAACTTAAATTGACGCCATCGACCACTTTGTAAGGAAAGCAATGAACACGTAATGTACGCGCCTGCGGTATGTTTCGTTAAAAAAACTTGATTTCATCATAGATATTAACTTAGGTATAAAATATATAATTAGCCTTCCATATCGTATCAAATTGATTATGCTTTACATGCGTTTTATCCAATGAGGAACCAGACGTGCAACTTCATTATAGCACCAATCTCATACACGCCTTCCATCTGAGAAATCAAGTGCCACAGCTGATGGATTTATTTATCATCAGCAGCGGTATGCGAGCAGTTGACCAAAACCACATTTTATTTACATTTTAAATGCAAATGTATTTTTGCCATTGAAAGTTCGGAGTTTAGATAAGTATTTATTAGGTAGACTGTGTATCAAAAACAAGCATGTGAATTTGAAACGGCTGCCTGTTATCACTGCATTGGTATACATAGGTATCTATTATAAAACAAAGTAGCTTTGTCTGTTCCTATCTCTATACGTATGCTTACATCTTTAAAACTACGCACCAGAATTTAATGCGATTTTTGGGGTTTCGTAGTCAACTAGGAGTCCTTATTGTTTCAACATATTTGTCTGTCTGTCTATCCACGGATAATCTCAGTGACCGTTCTTACTAGAGAGCTGAAATTTGGACACCAATAAATACCTATATATTTTATTAGGGTTCTAACTACACGTAAAATTGGGTTTTTGTTTTTCATTTCAACCCATGTCTAATATATTGTTGGATGGATATTTAAAAATGAGTAGGGGTATGTAATCATTTTTGACAATGTTAATATTTTCGGAAATATTCGCTCCAACAGTTAAAAAGTTAGTAGCCCCTCCCCCTAAACTTATGAACCACAAGTTTAGAAAATATGGAAAAAAACACTTCTCCACTCCATTATTAGTTCATCATTAGGTGGTCTTAACAATGACGACAACCGAGCGCTACAAACAAGTACCTTCCGAAACTTCAGTGTTCGGTAAGCATTGATCAGCGTTCGGCCAAGTGGGGACGCCGTGGCCTCTCTCTAGCCACTCCTCAAACAGCGGTCGTGCCACTGCTAAACTCCGGGGTTGCGGGGTAAGCCGGGGTTGCGGGGTAAGCCGGGGTTGCGGGGTAAGCCGGGGTTGCGGGGTAAGCCGGGGTCGCGGGGTAAGGGCAATGAGGCACCGCACCGGCCCAGAGCAGGAGAAGGAACAGGGGGTTGTTTAGTCAGTAAGAGTCCGACACTTCCTCCCGCATAAGTCATTTGATGATTTACACCTCACAAAAAAAAACCACTGCTAAACTACGAGCTACAGCCGTATTATTCGCCGCAAATTGGAGCATAGAATAGATTCAGGGCTGTACCTACTAATCGGCCCAGCCCTAAATCTATAGTCAAGTTTTTAACCCGCCACAACCGATTGGTTGTGGTGGTTATCCGATCGGATTACTTTACTGTAGCTATGTATATCTCAACCAGGCAATATATTGTAAGATTTTATTCCCCACCATTTTGTTAATATTATTTAAGTGTGGGAGAGCCATGCTTCGGCACGAATGGGTCGGCTCGACCGGAGTAATACCACGGCCTCACAAAAAACCGACGTGAAACAACCACAGCGTTGTGTTTCGCCGTGTGAGTGAGGTAACCGGAGGCCCAATCCTTCCCCTTCCCCAGTTCCTAAATCTCCAAATCCCTAATCCCTAAAAGGTCGACAACGCACTCGTACCTAACTCCTCCGTTGCGGGTGTCCATGGGCGGCGCTGGTTGCTTTGCTTACCATCAGGTAATCCGTCTGCTCGTTTGCCGATCTATTACATAAAAAAAACAGCTTTCGATTACGCTTGTTAGTGAAAAGTAAAAAGTCTAAGGTTTAAATAATTAATTAAAAATTAAAAGACATCGTCTTAATTTTTGAAACTTATTGGTTATTGTGATCAGTTAGTAGCTGTTCTCGTAGTCTGGTGTAAACTAGGTTTTACATTCAAACCAATATAGGTACTTATCAAAATTGTGTTGTTTCTTTTTTTCCGATATTGATATGCAAGTACGTAACCCTTTTTTTTAACTTATCCTTATTTCTCTCTTATCTTCCGTTTCCACACTGCAGGGAGCAACTGTGTGAACAGTGACTGTGAAAACCACACAATATTCAAATCTTTGAGAAAGAAAATAACAAGCCAAGTGGAAACATAATACTTTTATTATGTAACAAATTCTCAAGATATAGCCCTTTACATAATTATTATCTTATGGAGGTACTCATGTGTTACAAAATTGAAATATTAAAGATTGTTGTGAAGCATTAACAAAGGTAATGGTTTAGCATCCTGTTTGACTTCCTACACTTATTTTCTATTTAATGTAACATTAACTTATAATTGCATAATAAGTCTGTGATGAATGAAGTGTGTGAATATGAAATTGCAACCAAAATTCTAAAACGAAAAAAAAACCATGTGACACTCACATTCTAAACAACTTCTTGTTTAAAAATATTCTTACAGTCAACTTTATTCTCAATTTATAATAGAAATTAACCTAAATCAATTATAATGATTATTTTTCACTATTTCACATATTTTTCCATGAATTTCTTGTGAAATTCTGATCTTAATGAATCGTTTATGAATGTGTTGCCTTTCTTCTCAGGTTCGGAACGAGCACAATTTTTGAAAACAACATCGTCATCCCAACGTCTTTTAACCTGGAATAAAAATAAATATATTTTTTAAACTATTGTACATACATACAAACAGACAGGTAACTGTCAGAAGTGTAAGAACATTTAACTGAAATGCCTATTAAGTCATCTAACTTTATGTACAATGACCGTTTAAAGTCTCAGTAATTCACATTAACATTATAACGAACAACAAGCAAAATAAATGTATATCATATTAGCAAGCTCTAAGCAGTTGAATGTGTTATTATGTAACATATGACAAATAAGTAGGTACCTTCATGTCATTTTTTTGTCCTGATGATGAATAATTCAGCAATGGATTTCCAGATAGGATATTTTCCATGCGAATCCTCTCTTCTTCTTGTTTTCGTTCAGCTTCCTGTTAACAAATCATTTCATTTATTTAAAAGAACTGATTACCAATATTTAAACAAAATGTTATGCATGGGAAAATTGATATAAAACCAACTAAATGCTAACTTTTTAAGAATACCTTTAAGATAAGTTAGTAACAGTGCTGTTTATTATAACATGCAAATCAAGAATTAATTGAATTTGACATAATTACAATGTATTGTTATAATTTTTGATTCATGGTTTAAATTTATTATACAAAATTATAATAAATGATATCTCACATTACATGTGAACCATTGCTACATACTAATCAGATTTTAGATTTCATAATATTAAAGTATTTATATATAATATAAACAAGTTCAGATGTCAATCATTCATATTCATATTTACCTTTTTAGCTTGTTCTATGGCTCTTTCTTTTTTAATTTTATTTAACTCTGCTAGCAAGGCTGCAGTGTCATCATCGGAATCATCAGAGTCAGATGAGTCTCCTTCAAGAGGATCATCAGCATCCAAGCTGGCTGCTGGAACCTGGTCTACTTTAGATCTCTTAGTAGGGGGCTCAAGGGGTCTTCTTGCACTGGAACTTTTCACTTCCTTCTCTCTTTCATCCAACTCCTTACGGAAATCCCTTGAGCGCAATTCATCTGTGGTACCTTGTCCTTGTTCTCTGTAATTCATTAATTTATTATTAACCCAAGTACATGTAGCATTATATCACATTATGGATCACACATACTATGAGCTATGAGGTTAGCAACTCGAGTTAAACAAGAATAAACAAAACATAATTCATTTATATCATTAAGAAACATATGGGCATGTCAATTGTCAACATCATTAAAATGTAAATTTCGCTCCTTTTACCTGTATTTCAATTTAGTGTGTCCAGGAAGATCTCTACTAGAATACTGACGAGATATTGCACTAAGATCTTTTTCACCTCGTCCTGTACCTCCCCGTGCAGGATCAAAAGTAGGTCTTGCAGCAGTCGTCATATTTATTTATTAGGATGGAATAACCTATGTTTTTAAATTTAAATGGTTATAATCACACTTCGTTCTGCAGAATAAAATTGTTGTGTTATTATCACCTACTCCAAACACTTAATTTGTCTCACAAATATAAACTTTATTGCACAGTTAAAACAAAGTCTATATAATAAAACTTAATTAGATGTCTTGGTGAGTTAGGTTTAGTTATGATGATAGAAAATAATTAGGTAAGTATCAACAAGTCAGAGAAACAAAGAGTATTTATACACTACGTTCTACAAAGAAAAATGTTCGACGATGTTACCTACTGAAATAGGTGAAATAATTGCTAAATCATAGAGAAGCACATTCTAGATTGAGACATAAAGTCAATATGTCTATGGTTCTTCTCAAAGAGTATGTAAGTTTGGTTCTTCTAATCTTTATATGAATCATTTCTTTGGAATCTTTAGGCCCTAATTATTTTACTTTTAGATTTGACGATATACAGGCGAAAACCTTCTTCTTTCCATTTTGTATAAAATATTTATCATATAGTGTATCAATAGTCATCTTTCAAAAATTTTGTAAAATTAAATTTTTTTTTTTGAGGTGACTAACAATTATTAAGGAAATTAAATAATTTCGTCGATTACAATGCAATAATATGTTGAGGTTTGTTATACAACCAGATGAGAGTTTTGTTTTTATATTATTAACACTACCTTACAATAAAACTTACTAATACGGCAGACGGCACGGCATTGATTTGCCATGGCAACACTGAAGCCAGATTGCGCCTCAATCAGCGATATCGTTACAAAGTAATTAATTGTTTTTGTTTAAAACAGATCGACATTTACAACATAATATTAAAAAGATCGATATTTTGAGTTTATCGAATTATATAATAATAAGGTAAGTAATGAGAGGATGCATATTTGGGTATATAACCATAAATTTGCGATGACAAAAACCTGAATGCCAGACGCCATTTTGTCTTCATGTGTGTTGTATCGCAATAATTTCAACGCATTGCTTTAGTGTTATTTTTATTTATATAACACGTTTATTAGCACCGTTTCAAGGTTAATATTAGGTTTATAAAATTTAATCCGTAATTGTCGCTTGTTTTAATTCGAAGTTTGTTCTACTATCAAGCTAGCCTAGTTTTATTTACCACGAAAAAAAATAGTCTAATTCTAGAATTTTGTTTCAGAATGGCTGAAGATTTAGATGTGGAAGCTATGTTGGAGGCACCCTATAATAACAAATCGGTAAGTAATTTTCAAGTTAATCTAATCCAGTCGAACATCTCATGTCAATTTCCACTCAATGATATAAGCATTTCAATCGTTCTGTATTTTTAGCGACAAGCTTTTGTTAGTTTTTTAATCAACCAATAAATTACTGGTAATAGTTCCAAGTACTGAAGTTTAATTAACTCTTGCCTCCCTGTACAATTTCTATTGAGTACCTATAATTTTCAATAATTTATTCACATCCAAGATACAAAAACCCATGTTATTTATATCATGTAAATGTTTCTTTTACAAATATTTGCAATATAAAATTTTTGATGTTATGAAACAAATGAGCCATGTGACGTGTAACTGTTTAAAGATGTTATAAACTATTGTTATTGCTAAATTAGCATCTGACATTATGTTAATAACTAGTTAATTACATCTTTAAACAGAAACTGGTAAGAAGTTTAAAACAAAATTACATTTGAGAATCATTTCTTGTATTTATAGAACTTTGTGGTAATAGTCGAGCATACTTCACCGACCTGACTGCAAGAGGTATCCACTACTCTACTTACCTAATTTTAATTATTTAAAATTCAACACAATCCTAACCTTGTTAAAAAAAAGTAAATCACCTTTAAAAGTCAGAAAATAAGAATATCATAGAGCGTAATTTTAAAAAAAGACCATGAGCTGATGGGTCGTAAATCTTTTGCAGAAGTATCCCTGTGTGATGTTAGCGCTGTGTGCATCCTTTGTCAGTGGTTATACGAACGGTAAGTGTAGAACAGGGACACGAGACTACCATGACATGGATGAACATTGGTTGGTTAATAAACCAGCTGCCAACAGTAGCCTAGGCAAAGTAAAACCATCAGCATTTGTGTTATTTCATCAGTGACATTACACTAATGACATTGTTGAAATGCTGCAAATGTTCTCCATGTTGTTGTTATCAATTAACTAATGCAATTTTTATTTATTCACTCGGCGTGTGTTGCTGTGGCGCTGCTTCTACCTTGTGCTTTGTGTGACAGGATAACACTTCCTCTTCAAAGCATCGATCGGACAAGTATTCTGATAAGCACAAAGACAGAGACCGGGATGGAAGTCGAAGGTATGAAATTTTCCATAATTTAATATACATGAACAGAACAGTACATTTTAGTTGTGTCCAACTACATTACATTTTTATCATAACTTTAATAGGAATGATGACAAGATGAAGAATACAAGAAATTTTTTATTTTTGTCAAAAATAAACAATAGATAAAGTTATGGATAGTTAGGGTTTCTAATATAATAATTTAATATTAACAATTATGCTGTAGGTAATGTGTTATTTCAAATAATAATTTTTCAATATTCAGGTCAGACATTGGTTTCCTAGTGGTAAAGTGTCCCAATAATATTAATTTTTATTATTTGATGATCTGCCTAGCTTACTATATTGGTTTTTTTGCCCTAAAGCCATTGACATACAAAATTGTTGCAGACCTTTCTGAGACCCTTTGAATAAACATTTATATTTAATATATATTCACATGGTTGATTATAAAAGAATTGCTTGTGAAAAGGTATTGGATATTTTTTTTAAATTAAAGATGTCTCGATTTTTAATTTGGAATCTTAATATCTTAATATTTTGCCATCTATTCGGTAGTTATCATTTAGAAAAAGGAACATTAAATTGACAGACAAATCTGAGTGGCTGTACACATATTCTAACATAAACATAGTATGATATTATTTTTATCCTGAAGGTGTGGACTAGTACTAAATACTAATGAACATTTTTCATCAGTTCTGGGAATCCAGGCTATCAATGTAGCATACAATTTATTTATATTATGTCGTCTAACCATATTAATAAAATCATTATGACTGACACACATCAATTAATCTTTTTTACAGACGTAGCCGGTCGAGAGACAGAAGAAAATCGAAAGAACGAGACGCACGTCGTTCAAAAGAAAGAGATGATAGGAAAGACAGAGATCGTGAACGAGACAAAGATCGTAAGGATAGAGATCGTGACCGCGAACGTGATCGTGATCGCGAGCGTGAACGTGATCGAGGTGACCGTGGTGATCGTGGTGACCGCGAGCGCGACCGCGGCGAACGCGATCGTGACCGTGATCGTGAACGAGACCGTGGAGAAAGGGACCGCGAACGCGACCGTGAGCGCGAACGCGACCGGGACAAGGATAAGGACAGGGATCGCACTCATAGAGATAAAGAACGTGACAAGGATAAAGAACGTGAACGCGATAGAGATAAAAGACGGAGCAGAGACAAAGAACGCAGTCGAGAACGTGACCGCAGCAGCCGCGACCGAACCTCTAATAGCAAAAGAGAAAAAACTATTGAAAGAGATCCCTCTAAAGAATACCGATCAAAATCTAGAGGTCTTGAGCCTAAATTAGATGACTTGCCTCCAGAAGAACGAGATCTTCGAACTGTTTTCTGTATGCAGTTATCTCAAAGAATTCGCGCTAAAGATCTTGAAGAATTTTTCTCCTCAGTCGGAAAAGTAAGAGATGTAAGACTTATCACCTGCAACAAGACCCGAAGATTTAAAGGCATAGCTTATATTGAATTTAAAGATGCTGAATCAGTACCTTTGGTAAGTTTACTTTGTTGTTTAAATTTAGAATAATGTTTTTCATCAATTGAGCAATTATTTCAATTAATATGTAAAATTAATTTACAGGCTCTAGGTTTGACGGGACAAAAGTTGCTCGGAGTTCCTATTATTGTACAACATACGCAAGCAGAAAAGAACAGGGTAGGCAATACATTGCCAAACTTAGCACCAAAGACCAGTAACGGACCAACAAGACTATATGTGGGTTCATTGCATTTTAACATTACAGAAGACATGCTCCGCGGCATTTTTGAACCTTTTGGAAAAATCGATCATATTCAGCTTATGACGGACCCTGAATCAGGAAAAAGTAAAGGATATGGATTTCTTACTGTAAGTACTTTCATTGCTTTTCATATAAAGTGCTAATATTATGTTAATTTATTATGTTTTAAAGTGCTAATATAATGTTATAACTTCTTAAGTTTGGGCCCCACCGTAATTTAATAAGTGAATCTTTTTCCATAAATTAGATATAACAGATTTGTATGGGCCTTTAATATACCTAAACTGCCAGTATCTGTTGGAAGGCTACCAGAGCTAGATCTGGCAGATACTGGCAGTTTTAACAGAGTAAAAGTAAAAAAAAATTCATTTACCACATCTCATTTCAGTTTCATCATGCCGCAGATGCCAAAAAGGCAATGGAGCAATTGAATGGGTTTGAAATAGCTGGAAGACCAATGAAAGTAGGCAATGTCACAGAGCGGACTGATGGTGGTTCCAGCACTCGATTTGATGCAGATGAGCTGGACCGAGCTGGTATTGACTTAGGTGCCACAGGACGCTTACAATTAATGTTTAAACTAGCAGAAGGCACTGGATTACAGGTAAAGTGTTAAATAAATTGTCTTGGATCAAATTTGTCTGCACTATGTACAATATTTGTGTCACTGATTGATCACATTTCAAGATATTCTAGTAAATCCTATTAGTTATATTCTTACTTATATCCATGTTAACATATAATTTTCAAAACAACTGAATTTATACAGGCTATGTAACTTTCAAGTTAGTACTCACACAAATGTGATGAACTATATAAAAACACCACACAATAATTAACTGTTACTACAAAATGTTGATTCGTGATTTACAAGAATATCTCACTATTAGTCATTAAAACCAATTCATATTAGAAGCGAAAACCACTTCAATCCACATTACAAGTTCCACATATTGGAGTTATAGTGAAGAAACATGATAAATGTATGTATTTTGGTAAAGGTTCCATAATTATTTCGTCAGAATGCTTATTATTTCATTTTTGTTTGCAGTTTGCAGTAGCAGTAAAGTTTTTCTTTTGTTTGCAGCACTGTTGAACATAACGTAAATAATATGCTCATCAATGCAGCAAAAGCTATGTTAACAGGAAATAATGCGCATTGAATGTGTTTTCGTATTGACATGATAATATTATGTACTTAACAGCTATAACCATGTTTAATAAATGGAAAATTATATATTTTCAGCACTGCTAAGTACTGAAAAACTGTTATTCTAGACCCAAAGTAGAGACAATTTAATAATAATTTCATTTTAAAGTACTGTTGGAGTCACTCGAATCTCTTGTTCAGAGTGGAAAGTTTACACTAAAAAGTGCTTATGTTATTTTTTATTGTTATACACTGTAGTATGATAATGTAGTCCCTGCAACCATTTATAAGCTTGCATGTGTTATTTTTAATAGGTTGGGGAAAAGTTTCTTTGTATTTTAGAAGATTTACAAGCATTTCTAAGTACAGTTTATTTAAGTTAGACTAAAGTATGTAGGTACCAATTTGTTCATTAACTTTTTGCTATCTTGTAAGTAATAATCATATCACATAATCCCATTGTTATAGACATTTGGGATTTCTGATCAAAATACCGCGACAAGTGGGTTTGGTGCCACTCGTGATGTTAATCTGAAACTGCGTTTTCTGTTTGAAGAGACCAAAATAGGTGGCAATTAGAAAGTGCCAGGTCAGGACTATACGGCAGATGCATTAACACCTAAACAACAACAGCTAAATATGTGTGAGGTCTAGCATTATCATAAGAAAAAAACGGTTAATTAGGTTATTTTGTGTACCTAGGTTTTTTTTTAAAGTAAACTGATTCGTGGTCAATTCCAAGCTCTACAGCTCCTAACGATATCTGATAACTTGCACCCGTTTTTAAAAAATGGCACCTTTCTTATACCAGAGCGACGTGCATAAACCAAATGTGTGCTACTCTCACAAACCCTGCACAAGGTCCATAAACATCGTAAATATTTTTGCGGATTTTGGAGTAATATTTTGTAATGTGTCGAATTTCTTTATTGTATTCTCTTACGTTGATAGTAGACAAACAAGTAAAATCATAGCAAAACCAGCTAGATACAAAAAGTATCATGCAAAGAGATTTTATTTATTATATTACAAGTTCATACATACTATAATCCGAAAAGACTTATTTCTCCAACCTAATAATTGGATGATTTTCTTACTTTATAAAAGAAAAAAATAAACTCAAATGTATTTACGAGAAAAAATGCTAAATTATAAACTAATTTGATTCGTGTGTGATTTCAGATACCACCTGCTGCAGCATCAGTGTTGATGGGCGCCGGCTCAGCGCTAGTTACTCCACAGCCTCAAGTAGCACCTCCCATTGCAACACAGTGTTTTATGCTCAACAATATGTTCGATCCAGCATCGTGAGTAGATATTTATTCAAGTTTAAAAAAGTTCACAGTAATTTTCTTCTACTGATATTTTAGAACAAAACATTATTTTCATAATTCAAATTTAAATACTATATATCATAATTAAAATTCGGTTATCAATCGAAGTTAAAAATAAATGTTGTAAGGTTTAGTATTTTATTTAAAAATTATCGACCCTGACACACATATCATATGTGTATAATCGTCATCTTATTATTGATAACTAATAAAGGTACTAATAATTCATTATTCTTGTTTCAGGGAAACAAATCCTAATTGGGACATAGAAATAAGAGATGATGTTATTAGTGAATGTAATAAACACGGAGGAGTATTGCATGTATATGTGGATAAAGCATCCCCCCAAGGAAATGTTTACTGTAAATGTCCAACGATAGCGACGGCGGTGGCCTCAGTTAACACATTACACGGCAGGTGGTTTGCCGGCCGCGTCATCACAGCGGCTTACGTGCCGCTTGTCAACTACCACTCGCTATTCCCTGATGCGATGACTGCACTTACTCTCTTGTTGCCATCCAGACAACGATAAACACAGCAATAAATAAGCATTTATATTTTAACAATTTTGGTCTTGCGTATACTGATTTATTTAATATCTAGTGAGGACCTAATTCTAGATAATAAAGTTATTATTATGTAAACTAAGTAGAGTATCATTTCATTCCCGTAGTCGACAAGTGCTCACAAGTCTCATTAGATCCAGGATTGACCTAGTGAGATTTGTGTCGGTAGATCCTTTGTTTAATAAACTGGTTCCGAGGAGACGAGAGATGTTCCCAATAGAACAATAAAGAAATACTTCTCAAAGGTATTTGTTGACGGTCTAGAACTACCTAGAATTTATATAAAATTGAAATGTGTCTGCTATATTCCTATATGTAGAACATCAAATTCCTTTATTATTTAATAAAATAATCAACTTTTAGTAAATAAAACTCAAATCCAAAGTTGAACCCACATTTGAAATTTGTCGGCTATCGTTGACACTTATTTTTTCAGGGGAAAATCATCAAATAACTTCTCCTGCCCTGGGTGAGGCGAGAGGAAGTAAAAACTCTCGTTCCTTCTGCTCTAGGCCAAGGCCGCGCGGTAACTCATTGCGCTTACCCCGCAACCTCTGCTAAACGTCAGCCCTATTGGACACCATCTATGATGGTTCTATTGGCTCTGAGGCACCGGTGACCTGCGGTTACGGAGAATTTGGCTTGAAACTTCTATATGAATATCATTTTTTTTTTTCATATATCATTGAAAATTGGGCCAATTGATCTGCTGAGAAGTTTCACTAGATCCATAACAGATCGTGTGACTTCCTCAGCATTAGTCAAATAAAAATAAACACCATTAATAATAATTATCAAATTTATTTTATTGTTGTAATTTAAACGGCTCTTATCCAATCTATCTCCAACGTTGCGGGACCCTTCTGCTTCACAGGTTGGTAAACTCCGCCATACATCTGTATACCAATACTTGACACTTGCGATAAATCTAACATTTCATTGTTAGTTACTCTTTTGCCTCTGTAGTAAGCTTTAAACTCAGAGAACTTGAGATTACGAATGGCAAAGTCATCTTTTGGTGCCTAAAAAATAGAAAAAAGCTGATTAACGTACTTAAGTTTATACTTTCCAATAGAAAATCAATGTAGATTATGTACGATGCCTATCTAATAAAACAAGGTAATTTATATGAATATTTAAGGTCATGACACCACGCGTGAACCGAAGAATTATTCCTAGTTTGCTCACTGCAGAAAAGATTCTAGGTAGGTATTACAGTATTACTGCAGTACCTAGGTACTTAATTTTTTTTAAAGTAGAGGGGATTGTCAATATGTTGTTACCTAACCCTTTCGATACCGTGGCGGTTCGCTGACACAAATAACAGACACCGAGATAGACTGGTACCTAGTATTTATATAGCACTCAGGGACATTCCAATTCCAAAGATTACCCCCTACAAACAAACGTACAAATTTTACCTCTTTATAATATTAGTATAGTTTTTCTGGCGATTGGCCCTCATCTCGCTTGGTGGTAAGCGATCATGCGACTAACGATGGAGCACGCCGATAAGCTACCTAGACCAACAACAAACCAACCTTATTTAGTTGGATAACCATGCCAAGCAGAGGCAGCCCGCGAGTCTGTTACTAAATAGAGAAAATATATCGAAGCTTGCTCGTGTACTCGTTTTATGGTAATATCAATGTTCAGAAGCAAAATCTTCACTATGGCTGTGTAAAATAATACAATTCACTTTTTTTACTCTATAGTAGGTATGGCTTTTCTAGATTAAAAACTCAATAGTTTCCTACAACACCGTATTTTACTTAAGTACCTAATTTTTTTTATTTACCTATATTCAATAATTACTAGGTAAGTGTTTGTATTCGCATATTTATAACCTATTAGCTTTTGCCCGCGATTCCGGTCGCGTGGAATAGTAACTTCCTGCAGATTTTTGGTATAGATCGTTTTTATACCAAAAACCAATACCTAAGTCCTTTCTCGAGTCCCAAACTATTTCTATACCAAATTTCACAAAAATCGGTTTAGCAGTTTAGGCGTGATAAAAAGACAGACTGACAGAGTTACTTTCGAATTTATAATACTTATTAGTTTGGATGTAACCTATTTTAATGAAAAATTTAAGAGACTGATTATGACTGATGATATTTTTAATTAGGCACTGAATAACAAAAATTGTTAGCTTTGCAGATAAGCTGTGTATGTTAGCACAGAAATGATCTAATAACAAACAATGACGTAAATAAGATAAATTTTAAAACTTAGGTAATATAAATTGATAATTATTAGACTTATTTTATAAAAAAGATCTTCTCTGAAATCATTGTAAGGTCAAAACAAATCAATCTACGAACCAGGCTTAAAATAAAGAAATTTAATTTGATAGATTCTAAATACCTACCTATCTCGTAAGTACCTAGCATTTACCTAGTAATTTACACAATACATAGGCCTGTCGACTGCCTGTTAGAAAAAAAGAATTATAAGTATTTTTTTCAGTTTTTTCCACGAATTGCAGTTCTAAGACCTGGTGTTAAGTTTGTATATAGGTATCAAAATTTTTATATTTTAACGATACATTTCGTTAGGTAGGTATAACATAATCTACTTTCATTTTATTATTTATACAAAAATAGGAACTTATTTGTTATACCAGAATATTTGAATTCTGAAATGATGCTCGGTAAATAACCGAAGCCACCTTTTTAGTTATTTGAAGAATAAAAAAACAAAATATTAAATACAATCTTAATTACCTAAGTACCTATCATTTAACCGAAGACCATGCAATCAAAATATCTGGAAATACCGCCATCTACCATACGACAATTACCTGGAAATATTGCTCGAATGAGTAATTTGGCTCGTCATTTAAACCTTTGTGCCGTAAAGTTACTTTGAATCCATTAAATTGTCCTTGTCCTCTGCATTTGATTTGTAGCTTTGTGTAGCCGGTTAGATTGTATGTCTGAATAGCCCGTATTCCGGCAAAACCGGCTCCGTTTAATTGAGGATTTAAAAGAGCAAAAAATATAGCTCGCCTGAACCCAACATTTTTGTGAATAACAAAAATGGCCTTTGACATGCCCACATCTCGTACGGTATCCGATTGTTCTTGCCAAACGTCTACGTCACCATCTTTTGTGAAATCAAACAAATATTGGCCGTCGTCTTGTTGACTTGTGCTGTAAATTTAAAACAAAATTATTAATTTTAGGTACCTACCTATGTAATAATATTCTTACTAAAACCTTACTATCTGTAATATATAAATTATTTATTCCAAAAACTAAAATCTGTAACCTGTACGTAGGTACTGCGCAGTTCGATTTTGAGAGCAAAAAATATTATAATTTGAAACAGAGAAGTAAACTTTCAGTATTTACAGTTTTATTGTCAGTTATTTCTTATATATAGGTAGTTACTTAACTTTCACTATCAGATGCGTCGTTAAGATCGATTTCACTGACTCCACACGTGCTACTTTCGATAGCAGCCATTTTGATAGTCAGAGGTTACTCTATCAAGCGTGGACTCATTTTGATATAATAAGTAGGTAATTTAGAACGCGTAACTTATTACAATAGCCGATACGGGCTGACAGCTTAATTTTCTCGAATTACTTATCTTTTTTAAAGTTTTTATGAAACAATTTTCTAGTTATTATAAACAGCGATATCATCTGGGTTGGTAATAATCTATAAAACAAATAGACAGTGACAATGAACCTCACAATCGATAAAAACTCTGGAGGCACCTCTAAAATGCGATTCATTTTGAAAACAATGATAAGTTGTTGGTAGGTAACATCTGCAACTTTGTTTGCTTCTAAGATGAATGATGATGGATGAAATTAAATTTTCTTATACCTAGTTAGAACGTGAATGTTTCTATCTAGCCACATAAATATTCCTATACCTACCTTCCTACTACCCACCTAATTTTTACCTAAAAAAACGGAAAAAGAACGGAATGGCGTTCCAAATCCTGCCCAGGGCCACGCAGAGGCCCTACATATTTACTACTAGCTAGCCGTGCCCGATCAGAAAAAAATAGGAAGTTAGGAACTACTTACTTACTTGAGTATTGCATTTTGCCGCCCAATACAAGGCAGTAATGATAAACATACCTAAATCATATCTAATTTTACTAAACTTAACATAATAGGTACCTAAATAAATTATTTAAATATTTACTAACCTGTTATCACATACTCCATACAATAGTACAAAACAAAGAAATAAGTAAATACATATCACTTTGTCATTTAACATTTTATTATTTAAATATTACGAATAACAATTATTTAACTGCTATTGCTTCTACTACACCCTATCAAATACTTACTAATAACTACTCGTTCAAATTATCGGGCATTTATTTGAATAAACAAAATGAATTTATATAGTAATATTGAACATTTGACACTGTTATCTTTTAATAATGTTATTGACGTCTAAGAGTCTTGACTCTGATTTTACGCCAATAAGCATGTCTTAATACATCTATCTGTTCCGTCGAATGAAAATGTATACAAACTTGATAATTACAAATATTAACAACTGGTCGAAAATGCTAGGTAGTCACAAGTGAGACTATAAAGTATCTCAGATTAGTGTCGAGTTGCGCACTATTACATACTAGCTTCCGCCCGCGTGGTATGTTGATAAAAAGTAGCCTATATATCCCCCATTCCGGAGTGTATCCCATACCTGTGCCAGATTTTATCCAGATCTATCCAGCCTTTTTGGCGTGATTGAGTAACAAACATCCTAACTTTCGCATTTATAATTATTAGTAAGAGCTACATCCAGCTAGCTGTATTAATAACAGTACATGGTTTGTTAATATTCCCTTGCTGTTATCTAGACTATTAATGGAGAGGGTCCCTAGTAACTAGGAAGGGTATCTAGTCTCAGGTTGCATGTGAAGCCCATGCAGCAGCAGTAGAAGAAAGGGGTGGGTTTTATTCCGTAACAGCCTGACACTCCATCTCGTGCCACATTAGTCATTTGATGATTTCGCCCCTATAAATAAACAGACCTCTACCATGTAGGAAAAATCCTGATTCATTTCCTATATGACCTTTTGAAATGTCATGACCCTTTGAAATATGTTGAAAAAAAAGATTTAAAAAAGAGAAATAATTAAGATTGTACGATAGTAAGTTTATTAAAAGAATACTATGCAAGTGTAGGTAAACTATGTCCCTCAAATGTTGTTCAATTAACAGTAAGTATCTAATTACATTATTACTCATCTTTCGAATGGCTGCAAATTAATGTATAATGCCTCTTATAGTATAATGTCAATGTTCATACACACATAGCATTAATCGAAATTGCCAGTGCCAGTGTCAGCTGACTATAGTTCTAATAAAAATACATTTTTTTATTTTGGCGCTACTTAAGAAATGTAGCTTGGCAATTGCTAGGGAAGGATTAAGCATCATGCCAAAAATTTATAGTATAGTGATTCAATAGTTTTCCATATTTATAGACATTTATGCATTTAAATTTGAATAATGAAAATAAAACAGATAATTTTTATTCATACATTTATTTACCTCCACCAGTGGCCACAGGGTGTTTTCTTAAAAAGCCTATGTTTCTAAGATATCGCACAATAAAAGGTGTAGCAGTGAGTGTTATAGCTATCCTAAATGGGGCAAAAAATTTGTGAACTGTATATGCCACAACAAAAGTGCCTGCATTTGATCCTGCTGCCTTCAAAATAGTGCCCTCACTAATGTTTAAATATTTTAGGACTGCCACTAAGTCGACGCCACTGAAAATAAAAGATAAAATAGCTGATTACTATAAAGTAAATATGTTTTAGTATCTGTTTATTATAAGATGAACGAATGATGAATTTGAATGAATTTGTTAAAGCAGTACAACATACCTAGATATTAGAAGATAGCAGCTCCCCAATGATATCAGGGAAATGCCAATATGAAATACAAGCACTGTTGAGCCATATTCTTTGATGGCTTGTTTTAACTTTTCTTTGGCACTCAGTGTTGGTTTTGAATCTGTACTCATATGTCTTATGTCAACAGCTATGCTTTGAAAAAAGGTAAACAAAATATTAACATCATCAAATTTAGTGAAAAGTAGGTACATAAATTTTTGATACTCAATCACAATTTTTATATTTAATAATCACTTTTCCTTTAAAGACCATCATTATAATAGTTTTTTGGATAATTTCTGCACTATTATGTTTTTGCACCTGAATAATCACTAACAAATTTCAGATAAAAATAAGGATTAATCAAACAAAAGCAATGCATGAGTTGGTTAGTACAATGGGAAATAAAATTTAGTTAATTTAGTAAACTTAAGCCCAATAAATCATTAATTAAAAAATTCACACACTCATTTGACATGCATAGGTATGTGCCTATATTTTGGTCAGGTTGTTAATGTTTTACAATTTAAAAAATAATTTATTTTAACCAATTCACACAGGCAACAAATATCATCATCAACAGTTTGCTGTTAGTCTATGGGTCTACAAGTCTACCTAGTTTTTAAGTGTGCCATAACATCCATAATTCTTATGCTGGTTGGCTTTCAAATTATGAAATGAGAGTGTTGCTGTCCAATTATAACAAAAACACTAAATTGTGAAACTCATAATATATAGTGTATTGTGCTATTAGAAAAATATAATAGTACTTAATGATAAAATTACCTGTATTGGCTACATACCGTCTTTCGTCATTCTGGAACGGTACTCATTTCTTAGTGTCAAGTAATGAGCACCATGAAGATGGTCAGACAAATATTTGTGCCCTTGACCCCATTGTGACCCTGGCATATTTAGATGCGTATGATTTCCACTGAAGGGGCTGGGAACATTGCTTTGCATTGAAGACGACAAACTGACAGCTCCACGGCAATCATATTTGTTGACGTGTGGATCTGACTGCACGGTAATATCAATCTTTCCCAAGTCAATTCTTTTTTTGTAACAAGAACTGATTACTGGGCCAGAAATATCCCGTTCCCTCAGCGGTGAAAATCGACCCATTTCTGACGCATTTATATCGACGACATTTGTCGGCAACTTCAATGCAACTGCTGGGGGAAATTTAAGGCTTGTAGTGACGTGAATGCGGTTAGTATCCTGGACATTGATATTCGACAATGCACCTGAAAAGAACGATAAAAATGTAGAAGCCGGTGTTTCTTCTTTGTATACAATCGAACAAACAATCCTCAAGGTCATACACTTACCAAACAATGGATTAGCTAGATTATGTTTATTGTTAAAATAATTGTTTGACCTCATATAAATCTTATACATTTTGGAAATATTTAGCTCATAAGACGAATCAATTCGTAGCTTAGGAATATAAAAACTAAATGATGGAAATTTCCCGTTACAAAAATTATACACGTAACTCACAAGACTAAGTTGACAAGAATGACAACATTGACAACAGCACAATCATCAACAATATGACAGTGACAGAAAACTATTGTCAGTCACAGACAAGTATAGATGAGGTTGTGGAAGTAGTCATTCGGAATATAGTAGGTATGACTAACGACCCGCCCCGCGTCGCACGGGTTCAATGCTGATACTAATTTTCTCCACTATTTTATTTATGGAAGTTATTATACTTTTGAGCACGTTCGTGTATGTGGACCACCGGTAAATGGAGAGGGTAAAATTACTAAACGGCCCATATTCACAGTATTATTATCTTGCTACATGGCGTCACGAAGGTCCACGCATTCTAAGCTTTCGTGTATAAGTTTGGTATTCCTATACCGTTTTTTATATAAGTGATGAGAGTCATACTTCGGAACGAGTGGGTCGCCTCGACTAGAGTGATCCACGGCCTTACAGAAAACCGGCTTGAAACAATTACGGCGTTGTGTTTCGCCGTGTGAGTGAGGTTGCCGGAGGCCTAATCCTTCCATCTCCAAAAGATCGGTAACGCACTCGTAATTCCTATATTGCAGGTGTCCATAGGCGGTGTTGACAGCTTACTATCAGGTAATCCGTCTGCTCATTTGCCGACACACATCACATTACATCATCAGCCTACAAGTGCCCTCTGCTGAGCAAAGCTCTTCTCACAAGAAAAAGGTTTGAGCATTAATCACCACGTATGCTCAAGGTGGATTGGCGATTCCAAACTTGTAAGTCCAGGTATCCTCATGATATTTTCTTTTACCGCTTGTCAGTGGTGTCTAATTAATCATAGAAAGTACATATCACTCGGAAATAATCACATTGGTGCCAGGTTTCAAACCCTCATGCATGAGAAGCGGGGGCCTTAACCTCTGGGCAACCACGACGTTTGCCGACATATTGCACATAAAAACTTTTTTAAAGAATTGGTAAGTAATAATGTTTTTAAAAACTTAACTTTTGAAAAGGTAGTAGTCAATCTGAAGGCTAACATTATCAATCCATCCAACCTAAGATTCTTAGTAAATTATGTTCAAAACTAAAGTCTTGGTGAATCAGCAACAGCTAATTTCACAAATGCGCCCGGGACACATGTCTACTCCTACTCACTTATTTCGATGCCGTATAACAGATACTGATATGGTGTTCATGTAATACTATCCTGTCCTCTTCTTGAAATGTCATCATATATTATGTCTTCCCTTGTTTCACTCCATATCCAGAGGGATCAAGAGAGAAACAATGGAAGAGGGATTCTCTCTTGTATTTTAATGATATTAGTAGTTATAGATTATTAGCAAGTTTTATATATGATAATAATTTGAAAATATAAATTGCATTTATGTTTACCTATTGTTTTTTTTAAATATTTTTTAAACAAAAATAATCCGACTTCAAAAAGTAAAACTTAAAAGCAAAAAATAAATTTTCGTTGTAGAAATTAATACTTACATCATTTCAATTAGTTACCGATCAATAATTATATTTTTCTAATTGGTATGACTGATGATTCACTTGACACCGACTTCAAGATTATAAAATGATTATTAATATTACTTTATATTTAACTAAATGAAAACATGTATTAAGGTGAGGTGGGGTAAGACTAACATACTTTTCTGCCAGACAGTAAAGATTGATTTTCATGGCTAAGTTATTTGACTTACCTCTGAGATAACAAAATAACTGATATCTAAATACTGTAAGCGGTTATAAAACAATGGATATATTTCCGTTAATGCATTCAAAAAGTATATTTTGAATAAATTGTAAAACCGTTAAATCTGATAGTCTTGCCCCACCAATAGGGGTAAGAATAACAGTAATGTATTTGAACTGAAAACGTACACTTATTGGGGTTTCCAAAGAAAAAACGCAAAACATAAAAGTAATTATACTTAATTTGAACTATATTATAACGGAACAACGTTTATTTTTGCAGCAATTCGCTTATTACACTATTTGGGGCAAGACAAACATACTATCAAAATCAGAGGCGCAGAACCTTTTAAGTGATAGGTATCAATAGTATAATATGCATGAAGC